AATAATCCACATAGTATACGGGTAACTGTGTAAATAACCTAGATAATATAAAGATACCTGGGTTAATAACCCAGATAAACATACAGATACCTGTGTAAAAACCATCATAAATAGCACGTGTTATACTTATAACCTTACGTACTTCTGCCTGGTGAATTTAGGTATTTGGTTCTCTATATAATAATGCTTGCGTTTATTGATAAAAAGTTACCGTTCATGCGTTTGTTCATAGCAAATATGTTGGCTTACTTGCATTTCTATTAATGAAAATGGTTAGTTTAAATTGCTTGCGTTTTTTAATGAATAAAAGGCTCTTTAGCTTGCTAGCTTGTGTTGTTGAATAAGAAATCGGATAGCTCTCTCACCAATAAAATCATGTCTCCTGAAATGCATGAATGAAACACGGTGTGAAATGAGAAAGGAATGAGAAACTTAAGCTTATGTGGTTTAAAAAAGATAGTGCACTGTTGGTATTTATAATATTCAAAGGAGCAGTCATGTTATTAATAATTATAATATATTATTATACAATTATTTAATTATAATAATAAAATCAAATTTTCACGCTTGCATAACCTTCTTATCAATCATATCCTTTTTTCAATGCTCATCTCTACACAATGAATCACTGCTCATCTGTATACACTTTTTCTGCGCATTTCTCGCACTTGCAGGCTTTGTGAAAACAGTGCAGAAGCTTCCTCGTTTTACCATCGTTACTTGACTTGAAGCTTCCTTGTCTCGAGTATAGCGAGCGGCCACCAAGTATTGTTCAGAAGCATTAACCAGAAAATGTGACGACTCGTGTTTGGCTTGCGCCGCTGCTATGACAATGGACATTTTTGCCAGTCTTGTGTTCCTGGATTGAAGTATTGAAGTGCTAAGGAAGAAAATTAGGGCAATATTTTGTTTTCGAGCTTTTTTTCTGTCATGTATATATTTTGGCCACTAACAAGTCATGCATTGTGATCTTGTAATTTCTTGGAAATGGCGTCCAATTAAGTAAAAGAGTTGATTAAAGTAAACTAAATTGTTGAGATACCATCAGCTGTACATATTTGTTCACAAAATGTCACTTAATGCCACATCTTATCAACATCTGGAGTTCAAACCTCTTCCTCAACCATTAATATCTTCTCAGCACCAAAAGATAACATCACACACAAAGAATCATTCTAATTCATTGATCGCTGAGCCGGTTGATAAATATTTTGAGATTAACTGTGCCCAGAAACTTCAATATTCTAGTGATGATAAAGAAATAGTTTTTCAAGCGAGAAAACCTGAAGCAAATCATTGGCAAAATCAAGCTAACAAGAATCATAACGCACACAACGGAAAATGTGAGAGAAAAAATACAGAGGAATATAAGCCAGATTTTTCTCGCGACATTAAGAGCTTGTGTGAATATTCCCTGCTATCGAAAAAAATTTCCGATAAATTAAATAACCAGAAGGAAAAATCATCGAAGAAGACCTCGTTACAAGAACCGTTTCGAAGTTCACGGCACTTGAGCTTTAATACCTCAAACTTAAGTGCGCAGAAAAGATGGCGTCACAGCTTGTGGTTCCGTAGGTCTCCATCGCATGAGAGAGCACCGAAGTTGTTGAGAAAAGGCAATTTATTTTCGGGGAGAGTAAACCATTTGGGTGATTCTTCTTCAAGTGAAGATTTGTCTGCTTCTGTTGGTGATAATTCACCATGCACAGTTGGTGATTCGTCAAGTGCGGCTAGCGATTCAGGTTTTGGTGCGCGAGATTCAGCCTTCAACTCTTCGTGTGAAGTCGGTGATTCCATTACTGAAGTAGATGAATTAACCCACCTTGAATTATTAGATTCACGTTCTTCTAAGCAGCACAAAATATTATCAAAGGAATTCCCGCCATCTTGTCTTTCAATTATAGATCGCAAGAAAATGAGTCGAGGTTCAGATTCACCGTGTTCAGGATACTCATCGGAGAGAATCAGTGAGGAAATTTCGAGTGATGAGTGCGAGAAATTTCGAGTCCCAGAACCTGAGTATGAGTCACCTGAGAATTTTGAGTTTCTTAATGAGATGTACTCTAATCAAGTTCGAGTTGACTCTCGAAATTTTGGTAAATTTGAAACTTCTATGATAACCGAGGCGAAAACCTCGCCAAGAATTGCGCTTGAAATGGACGCCGCTAAAATGAAGGTAAGGAAAAGTCATGTAGATAACATCGAAGGAAATAACCTGATGCTTATTATGATTATTAACGTGTCGCTTAACATGATTCTTAACGTGCTGCTTAACGTGCTGCTTCACCTGCTGCTTAACGTGTTTAATAACATTCTGCTGAAGTGATGATTAACTTGCTGCTTAACGTGCTGCTTAATCGGCTACTTAACGTGTTGGCTATCGTACTACTTAAAGCGCAGACTAATGCACTGCTCAGCGTTCTGCTTAACATGCTGCTCAACGTGCTGATTTACGCACTTCGTAACAGGCTGATGTGCTGATTCAAAGTGCTGATTAACTTACCGCTTAACGTGCTGTTTAACGTGCTATTTTGCGTACTGCTTAACGTAACACGTGTCTTAATGCTTGGTAATTCATTGTACCACAAGTGATTGGACTCGAGATTCTCCAAAAATTTTTGCTACGCTTGATTTCTATTCTCCGAAATCCACAGAAATTAATGTTGTCATTATCATCCTAGTAAAAAGTGCATGATGTTGAATGTTGAATGTCACCCGGATCATAATTATGTCTGATGCGGGATGTGGGTAATGTTGCTGAATGTCTCCATGATCATCCTAATATAAATTATGGGATGTTGGTGATGTTACTGAATGTCTCCAGATTATCTTAGTTCTTGATATGAGGCGAGTGATGCTGGTTATTACGTCTTGTGGTCACAGGAAATCGCAGTGGGCCGAGTTAAATGAATATTCTCATCTCTAAATCGAGATTTATTGAAAATTTCGTTCGTTTTATAATAGAAGAAGAATTAAAGTAAAATAACGCAATTCACTGATATACATGTATATGCTTACAAATTTTTAAATCCTATTTACCAAGAAATTAAATTGCTCGCAACAAATTAGCCTCATATGCTTTTGCTTTAAATTTTACTGTTCTCGATGGGGTCGCCAGCTTCCGCTTGAAATCATATAGGACAACAATGCGAACAACACACATTAATTTTCAAGCCATTTAACGCAGCCTAAATCTGCTTTGCTTACCTTATATCAACATTACTTAACCTAAATCAACCAAACTTGATTAAATTCCTTTATAAATTCATATATATATTCATATATAAATTATAAACTCATTTATAAATTCCGTCATAAATTCATTTGGGTAAACAGGCATGAAAACTCGAGACGTCGCCTTATGACGCGAGCTTATGAATGAAGGCTGCAACGCTGAATGAGTAGTTAGCCAAGTTGTGCAAAAGGCTTTATACTGAACCCGTATTAATAATAATTATTACCAATAATAATTATTATTATAAGAACTTTTATTTTGGTTGGGAAACAGTGAGATCGAATATTTCAATTTGTTTTAAATGTACCACAACGGTGGTATTGATGTAATTTTTGCATGCAGATTTTGTTTCGATTGTTATTTACAGATAAATTTTCAATACTTTCTTCTTAAAATAGACGTGAATCGTGGATTTTGGTCATTGAAACCAAGAAAAGGAATTAATAGGTATTATTTGTAGTTTCTTTCTGAATGAAGTAGCATAATGTTGGTAAATAATATATGATATAATATAACATAATGTAATATAATAATATAATATAATATAATATAATATAATATAATATAATATAATATAATGTAATATAATATAATACATTCGCTTTAACTGAGAAAAAATTATTGCAAATGGTTCGAGAAATTTTTCATTTGTGCTATAAGGAATTTCTAGGTTTATTATTGCCAACTAATTGTAATTTCTAGCAATGCACTCAATACAAAGCTCGTCCTTCGATAGCTCAGTTGGTAGAGCGGTGGACTGTAGTGGTGAACGGCTATCCATAGGTCACTGGTTCAAATCCGGTTCGAAGGAAACATCATTTTGTGTAAATTTATGCATTTAAAATTTCTTACTTTCTTCCTATCAATTCAAATTTATTTTGGTTCATTATGTACAGCTATGTTCTTCATAATTTGGATCGTATTATTGGAATGAAATATCTTTAGCTTCCCTTCATTGAAAGTAAAAAATGAAAATTGATCTTCATAAAATTGCCTTGCATTGCAAAGGAATCTAAAATACTAATCAGGAATGGATTTTGCACATTTGCAAATTTTTGTGCAACGTAATTTGTTTACCTATTTTGGGGGTTTGTGTAAAGTTATTCGGTGTAAATTGGAAATTGGTATTGTTGTAAAGTGATTTTTTATGATGGTTATAATGGTGGTTCGTGTAAAGCTATTAGTTAGAATATTTTATCCGTGTGATATTAGTTATTTATTCGTGGAAATTTATTCGTTATAATATTGGTAATACGTTTTCGTGCAACTTTGTTCATTTGTATAGGAACAACTAACTAACAAAGCAACTTTTGTATAGGAACAACTAACGTAGAAAATAAAATCATGATTTTAAAATAACTTGTACTCACTTTGGTGACAAAGTTCAAATAATTTTTTTGTGTGGACTTTATTAAAGAGAATTTTTTATGTCGTCCCAGTAAATTTCCAATGTAGTTCATACCGAATAACTAAATAACTAAGGATTCAGCGTGTACTAAATTATATTAAATGAAAATTTCGTGTACTTTTGTACTGAACGTAGAAATTATTTAGTGTAAAGTTATTAATTGAATGTATCCAGACCGTTGTCAATTTAAATACTTTCCAGATCAATAGTCAATTTGGTACAATATGCATTTTGAAGTTTGATGTTAAGCACATTCTATTCAAGCGAGTATATTATTATAATTCTTGTGTTTTAGCATTCCAAAATAGATTTATTTTAGCTATACTAATATTGATTGAATTCCGTGGTGTCTTGCAGAACGTGACATCGCTGTCGCTGGGTGAGAGCAACCTGACCTCCCTAGACGTGACCTCGCTGACCTCGCTCCGTGAGCTGCGGTGTCACAGCAATGACCTCACACATCTGGCACTGCATGGAGCCTTGATTACTCATATCTATGCGGACCACAACCGTGAGTAACTTGCCTTCATTCACCAAAATTATAATTTATACGTAATTAAATATTATTTATAGTAAAATTATACGCATTTATCAAATATTATAATGTTTTGAATATAATTTGTTGTCTATCCAATACATGCATATATCCTATGTGTAAAATTATACGCATTTATCAAATATTATAATGTTTTGAATATAATTTGTTGTCTATCCAATACATGCATATATCCTATGTGTAAAATTATACGCATTTATCAAATATTATAATGTCTTGAATATAATTTGTTGTCTATCCAATACATGCATATATCCTATATGTAAAATTATACGTATTTGTCAAATATTATAATGTTTTGAACATAATTTGTTGTCTGTCCAATACATGCATTTATCTTGTATGTAAAATTACTCATATTTGTCGTATATAACAATGTTTTGAATAAAATTTGTAAGTTTATCATTATGTTGTTGATTTATTGTGCTGAATTTTCTTCGATTAAAAAACTAATAAGCAATAATTATTTTAATTAAAGAGCTGAAGACGATACAGAGTCGCTACCCTCCACGTCAGCTGATACGACTCAGCGCTGCGTGGTAATTATATTATGTTTTAAATAATATAATATTATTATAAATAATAATATAATAATAATAGTAATAATTAAATTAAATGTTGAAAAATTAATGGCCTGTTTATATTTGCCTGCTTAAAAAATATGAAAAATTTTCCTTGGTCAAACTGTTTTTTTGGGCCAAGTGATAAATATCTCACACGTTTGTTCTATGTAATGAATAACGCGCACGAATTAAAAGGGCACAATAACTATGGCTCAACGAATATAAGCATTGAAAATACCAAGTAAAGTGTCAGTATTTTTCGTTGCATTTACAAAGCTAGTAGAGTCGAAATTGTACATTGTACCATTTTGAAAATATAAATTCAGGGAAATTATGTACATCGTAGTCTACACAATTCAAATAAATATGGTTGTAACTTTAGCAATCCTACCGCTGCCTACAATGAGCAAAAAATTCATACAATTGTTCGCTGAAGGATTTCTCGCTCATTCGTGCCGCAATCATACGAATATCGCCCTGTATATTGGGCGCTCACTAATTCGTTATGCACAATAGAGTTAGTTATTGATCTTTGTAAATTATTCCTCTTTCAGCAACATGATGACCGATTTTCCTCCTTGGATGAATCTTTGTGGAGATCTGAAAGAACTGGACTTGAGCTGGAACAAGATATCGAATTTTCCATCCTGGTTGCCTTTACCAAACCTTATTTACCTTTCGCTCCACCACAATAAAATTTCTCAGTTACCTGAACTCGACTCCAGAAACCAAAATGGCGATTTGGGACATTCCGGAAATCCTTTGTCCAAGTTTGGTATCCAAGGTACCGATGAAGATGCCCCTCCACAACCTCCTCCAAGGATGCCCAATGTGTTCGCGTCCAACGGATCTCGAGTGCCCGCTTCTAAAGCCCTTCGAGGTTTGGGTGGCAACGTTCCTGTGTCCATATCGCCTCCTCTAAAGCCTCACATGCGTAAAAACAGCCAAGTTATTACACCTGTCAGTGCTTGTTTACCTGAATTTCCTCCACCCCCTCCTCAGTTTTTAGAAAATACGGAAGATGTGGATAAAACTAATAGAAATGGACCCAATTGTTTCTCATGGAACGAACCTCTTCCTAACCCTACTCCTCCAGCGCCTCCCATTCCACCTCATTCTGTATCACCTTCTGCTTTTAAGCCTCACATTCACGTTCTTCACGATACTGCTCCACCTGTGCCTCCTATTCCAGCTTACCTAAGATCCAGAATGTTATCAGAAGCAAAACCATCGACGGTAAAGGGAGCAAGAAACGCTTTGGTGTCGCCTGAAGATGAAGGACACTACGAAGAATGCGGTAAAGCCAGTCATGATTACCATCCTTTGGAAACTCTTCTCTTGCATCACAACAAAATAAAAATCCTGCCTGAGAATTTTTTGCAAATGTTGCCCAAGTAAGTATAAAAGTTCAATTTGGTAGGCCGTAATTCAGACACAAATGCGACATCAATAAACTCACACTATACCGAAGTATCCAATCTTGTTGAGTCACTCATAACACGATAACAGCAACTTACAACATCCGACAAATAATTACAATAATAATAATAATAATTAACCTTATTTATAATAATAATATATAATTAACCTTATTATTAATAATTAAACTTACATCCGACAAATAATTAACAGTGCTTATTTATAAAAATTACTACTATAACATTTAATAAATATCATTATTAAATTATTATAATTACAAATAACTATTTATGTACATCATTACTATCTAAGTTACGGTTATAAACATTTTAGGATTCAGCTTGTCAACCAATTCACCATTGAACCGAATTTGTTATTTGTATGCAGCTTCACATTAGTGACAATTTTGATTCACTATTAAAATAGGGAATTCGTGTAAATACAACTGGCTTTTTATAATAAGTGCCCTTTAGGGTAATTGTTGATTTTGAGAAGTGACCGGCAGCCATTTAACATTTAAATTTCTCCACATCCCTTCCATGAAATTAAAATAATATCCTGCGTTCCAGCTTGCGCGTGGTAAACGTGAGCAACAACCAACTGATGGAAATCCCACGGATTTCAGTGCCCAATAAAAAAAGCTCTGGAATCAACGATGCCCCGACATTTACCTTCTCGATAAACACGGCGCGTCCAATACTGGAGAACCTGGAGGAGTTCTACTGTGGCTGTAACGCCCTGACAGAGCTGAGGGCTCTGGAGCATTGCTCCAAACTGCGAGTGCTGCATGCACCGTACAACGAGATATCGCTCCTGCCTGACAGGTTTAGTATATAGATTAATAAAATAGTATTAATTAGATATTAGTTGTTTTGGTCCTACCTGACAGGTTTAGTACAGAGATTTATTTAAATGGTATTATTTAGGTATTAGTTGTCTTGATCATACCTGACAGGTTTAGTACAGAGATTTATTTAAATTGTATTATTTAGATCTTAGTTGTCTTGGTCCTACCTGACAGGTTTCTTATAGATTAATTAAATAGTATTATTTAGATATTAGTTGTCTTGGTCCTACCGGACTGGTTTCTATACCATTGATTAATTAAATAGTATTATTTAGATAATAGTTGTCTTGGTCCTACCTGATAAGTTTCTAAGAGATTTATTTACATAAAATTATTTAGATATTATATGTCTCGGAATTACTGGATTTTGGTAGAATATAACTTTGGTATTACTGGACCAAAGCTAGATTATAACTTGAACATTGAAAAGACTAGAATGTAACTTGGATATTGAAATAGCTAAGATTATAATATCCTGGAAATCAAGCGGTGCGTCTAAATCAATTGTTTAAAAGTTATTAGCGCACTTTCTCCTTTATGAAAAAAAACACTATTGTGTTCGTCATGTCCGTCCGTCTGTCCGTCCGTCTGTCCGTCCGTCTGTCCGTCCGTGACTTCACGTTTTCGTCGACGAGAAAATGACTCTGTCACTCACTGCAGTGAGTACTGAGTTATATATTTTTATTTCAATCTATTTTTCTGAAGGCAAAATGCATATTTTTTCCACAAATTCCAGACTAATCGCGAGTTTGCCAAGACTGGAAGAGCTGACAGTGGCGGGCAACTACCTGCATAACCTACCTATGGGCATAGCCTCGCTGCAACACTTGAGACTTCTACGTGTAAACTGCAACCCTCTACAGCTCCTGCCTCCTCTAGCGCCCTTACCCAACATCAAGGTGCCATTATACTGTATCTACAATTGGATTACAACACTACTAAGTATGATAGTTGCATGTATTATAATCGCATAAAAATTCGTACTACATATGTACAACCGTATTGACGCGTATTACAACCGTATAGATTCGTATCACTACCGTATTCCCGTTTCACTTCCCGTATCACTACCGTTTTCCCGTGTCAGAACCTTGTAGACTCTTATTATAACCAAATATACTAGTATTCCAATCGTATTTACTTGTTTTATGACCGTCTAGAATCGTTAGTAACCGTAAAGGCTCATTTTAACCATATATATAGACTTTGATTTTAACCGTATATACTAGTTCCACAGCCGCATAACTAGAGCAATCTACTGAAAATAAAGAAAATCTGTTCAAAATTTTAATACAGTCTCACACAAATTTTTCTACCTCAAGTTTGCTTCGATCGTATTTTTAGAACAAATAAAGGGGACAACAAACTTTTATATAAATGAAACTTATTTTTCCTGAAAAAGCTTAATGGCGTATCTCTCTCATCAGTTCTGTGCAAGTGATATAGATTTAAAATTATTTTAAGTGTGAATTTTGATAATCAAATGTCAAATTTGATATAATAATATAATATAATATAATATAATATAATATAATATAATATAATATAATATAATATTATATAATATTGATATAAATATTAATATTTGCCAATAAAACACAAAATGGGTTAATTTATTTTAGTTGTTTTTCTCTTGGTTCAAAAATTTATGAACCTTTCATTAATATTTTTAACATTACGGGGAAGTTTTATTTAAGTCGTTTACGTGTTAAGTCGACGTCAAGCGAAATTTGTTTAAATATTTCTTCAACATGGCTGAGTGGTCTCTTATAGATATAACGATCAAATAATTCGAGGTACTTATTTTTTTTTAATTATGCGCTGAGTGAACTAAAGAGTTTCTAGTAGTTTGTACCATTTATATGATACAAATCGGTTTGTATTCCAGATTTATAAATGTTTCCGACTTAATTAATTTATTGCATTTACCGCCAAATCTCCAGATACTTGTGAACTATTGATAATAGTAGTTAGCTGTTCATTGTATTTGTCAGGTGATTGACGCCTCGCATTGCCAGCTGGGCGAGCTACAACTGGACGCCATCATCTCACCATCCCTCATCATCTTGGACGTGGCAGAGAATCCATCCATGTCTGTAAACCCCGAGCAGGTCAATCGTTGCAGGTACCTAATCTTTTTAAATATTAGATTAAGCTTAGCATAATTTATTGTTGTTTCTGTTGAAAGTTGAAACCGAACGTTGAATGTCAGAAGAGAATCAGTTCCAAGTTAAAAATTGCAATCGTGTGTGCACTTCTACATTCGGTGCAGATATTTATTTTAGCCGTTCGTGTTAGTTATTTGTTTCAGTATTTATTCACCGTGTCAAGCATTTAAAGTAAAATCAGTATTTATTCATTCACCATGTCAAACATCTAATGTACAATCATTACTTATTTACCATGTCGTCCATTTAAAATCTTTTTTATAATAATTTATTCTTCACTCATCAGTACGAGGAAATCGGTGAGCGTAGTGGACGCCAGCAAGGATCGCTTTTCTGATGCACCTGATGCGGACTATACACCAGACTGCTGTCCACCAGCAGTGAATACCAGACTGGAAAAAATTTTCACTTCTGGAGACCGAACTCTCGGTCATCGGTCCAGGGAAACTGGTGGAATTGTAGAGCGAACAAATGGCGCAACTTTAAGAGACACAACAATGGGTCCAGAGGAGATAAAGATGGCCGCTGCAAATGTTACGGGAGAGGCTGCAACCAGCCTGCCAGGCCCAAGAAAATCTTGGAGGGTTGGTTTTGCAGAATGCATTGGACGAGAAGAAAGGTAACGATAATTTTTTTAACATCAAATCACATCTAAGTTACAACGGTTATTTTTCGTGTAATTTTTCAACACTTCTAAATTTCAAATCTTTCAAAAATTTTATTTCTATTCGAAAATTTTCATCTATAAAATGATCGATTAAGTGAGTGCGCAAATGTTGCCTTCGATCCACGTCATTAATTTTAAACATGTACTTTTTTACAGGCTTAAAAGTTTACAACTGCGAGTAGCAGATTTGAACGGCGATGGTCTAAGTTGTCTTTTCGGCCTCATCGAGGAGTCTAGAATTGCGCTGGATTCAACCCCCTCTCAAACCCAAAAACCAGAGGCCAAAACCTCAGAGCAATCGAGCAATAATGCTTCGGATTCGTGCTATTCCAAAAGCCACAACTCTATCAACTGTCCAAACTTCTCCTTAGCACTTGGCCCCGATACCACGAACTTCACCCTGACCCACTGCCCAATTTCCCCCAACGGGATCATATCAATACAAAGGAAATCGGAAATTGACAAGGCTAATTGTTGCACTATAGTCCAGCTCCCGACGTCGGTAGGGGCGATGCTCAGTGAAATACCGCGCCTGTTCCATGAAGACCTGAGAACTGAAGAGGAAGAACCGCTTAAACGCAGCATGTTGACTGCGCTTCAGTAAGTCGTTACTATTATTATTGTTATTAAAGTGTCATCGTTTTCATACTTGCTTCAAGTGTCACTGAAGTAGTGAACTGAAATATTATGCAACTGGGTTAATCTGTTTGCTGATGGATTATAAATACGGCTGCATAGCGTAGACTTATATGTTTGAGAGTTTTTTCTAATTTTCAGCATATTTTTTTCGAATTTCGTTTAGGATTAAAAATAAAACACCTCCAATGGGTTTAAATTCACAGCTCTGTCAAATAATAGAAATGAAAATTTTTAATTGCATGAAGGCACGCAATGTTTTAATAAAACAAAAACGTTATGGAAATATATAGACAGTCAAACACATTATTTTGTACATTAAACCTAAATTATTTGCAAAAGTAGGTAGTTGTTTTGCACTTATGCATAACTGTAAATTACATCTGATGTTTTGTTATCGGCAGGCGTCAAGTTCTCCGCGGCCATGCACTACCCAAGGGTTTCTCGATGGTGCACCTTGTTAAACCTCCAGAGTCCCCTCCCATTTCTTTCTCGGCGGCCACGTCCACATTGTCCACCATTCCCCCCGTGTCCACTATTCCCCCCGCGTCCATCCCGAGGACAGGGTCGTCGGGAAGTGTCCGCTTGAGCGTGTCGAATTTTGGGGCAGCGATGGCAATGATGGCATCGCATCGGGCGGCTCAGCTCCTGACACCGGAGGTCGCAAGTGATGTGCAGGAGGTGCGGTCCGTTAATGTTATACAAATTGCGGTCTGTTAATGTTGGTCCGTAAATTAACTAATCAAATTGCGGTCCGTTAATGTTGGTCCGTAAATTAACTAATCAAATTGCAGTCCGTAATGTGTCAGCGTTGATTAGGCAATTAGACATATCACTGATTCTGGACATCGTAAAATTTTCACAGCTTTTAGCGGCCTCGGAAATGCAACTCACAGCTCCGATTTTGCTGTGCTTAATCCCCAGACCATGCATGCACATTGCCGATTTTAACCAGAACTGTTGCAGGTAGCTGGGATCGAACTCGAAACTCACAGCTCCAATCCTTTTACTTTGAACTCTAACCACTGGGCCACCCAGCCCTGTTCTGTAATATAACTTCAAATAAATTAATAAACAAATTTATTACGGTATATTGTTTTAAGTAGTAACTTCTCATGAATAATTGAATAATGTTACTAAATATACCTATAATAAAATCAATGAAATAATCGATTTGGGAAATCAAGTTTTAATAAGAACATATGAGTAGAAATGGAAATCATAAAATTTATTCATCACATGAAATGTACTAATCAGCTAGGATGTGTATAATTACAACACTATAAGTCTAATTATATATAAATACCATCCCGAATTGAATATTGAATAATTATTGAATAGATAAACTTTGCCTTAGACAAATTACACAAATCTTTATCTGAATTGTCGCGCTGTGAAACTAACTGACAGTTTATGATCCCTTGACATCATCCAATCGGAATTAATTATCTTTGTGAAGCTGGGAATGGCCTTGTCACGCCAATCGTTGCCTGCAAGCCCGATTTGTGCGTAATTTTTTTGAATCAGTTGGCGTAAATCACGTGAGTGGTGAAATTCACACTCTTACGTGTTCATTAACATCAGGCCTACACTTCAGTGCCGACATCACTATGTTATTAATGATGTAAGCAAAATTAATATATGCGATGAAAGTGAAGTAGTGATGTACGAGCTTCCGCACATGAACTATGAAATATTATGATTTTGACATAAAACCATTGGCATCAATGATTGGCTCTAGCAGAAAATATGGTTATGAATTACAAATAACTCAGAGCACACTTGGAGAAATGATTGAGTCGTTGTCCAATAGCGATGCACTTACGTGGGTAATTCAGGCCAATTTGGCCGGTCAACAACAGCAAAAAAAAAAAAAAGAGTATACGGTGCTCCCTCCGACAATATGGCGGCTGAGAGCACATAATTTTTGCGAGACAGGGCATGTTGTTAAGTCTTCATGGATCTTTCTTGACCTCTGCAATTCCTTCATTTTTTTTACTTCTGCATTTCCCTCATTTTGAAAGAATTCTCGGCAAATGGAGACTTTTTTGAATAACTTAGAAGTTAGAATCGCTCGGTGCAGACTCGGAATCATTTCAAAAAGGAGACGAACGACGACGTGATACGATATTTTGTAATGACATAATTAAATTAGGTAAATTAATGGAATGAATTGGATTGAATGAACTATTGAAGTAGTTTGGCTTGTTAAAAGAATGGAATAAATTGAATTGAATGAATTATCGAATTAATCAGATTAATTCAATTAATTGAATAAATTTTATTGAATGAATTATTGAATTAGTTAAATCACTTCAATTCATGTAATAAATTCGATTAACTGAATTATTGAACTAGTTGTATTAGTTTTGTTATTGTAATAAATTTGATTGAGCTAGCACCCCAATCAATTCAGTTGAATTACGGCAATTAATTGAGTTAGTTCAGATGAGATACAATTCGCTTACAGACGCGTTGCCCGGGCGCCGCGACCCCAACGACCTGCGCCCCCAGCACCGCGTCCTGGGTCGTCACTGACGACTGCGTGGCGGTCGTCCTGGCCTCCTCCGGGTGAGGGTATGGGTGAGGGGGAGGTTATGGTGAGGTTATGGGTGAGGGGGAGGTTATGGTGAGGTTATGGGTGAGGGTGAGGTTTTGAACCAAGTCCAGTGAGGGTATGGGTAAGGGTGAGGTTATAGGTGAGGTTGATGTTATGAACGATGTTCAGTGATGTTATGGTGAAAGGCGAGTTTTTGAACCAAATCCAGTGAGGTTATGGGTGAGGTTGAGGTTATAAACAAAATCCAGTGAGGGTTTGGGTGAGGGTGAGGTTACTAACCAAGTCAGTGAGGTTATAGGTTAGGGTGAGGTCATGGATGGGAGTGAAGTTATGAACCAAGTCTAGTGAAATAATAACCATTCGATTGTTCCAGGTTATGGGCAACGATGCAGCCGTCCGAGGTGAACCAAGTTTGCTTGCGGACTCCGGACCCATCCTTGGCTGCGCGACGTCTGCTGACGCTGGCACAGACGTATGGGGCTACAGACTCCATCAGCGTCATGGTCGTGTCTCTTGGTGAACTGAACAACGATGCCTCACCTTCTGGTATTCCTCCTAGCCTCGGGAACAGTATTAGGGCCTCAACTGTCATGGTGAAACCGGGGAACACTGACGAAGCCGATGTTGTTCCAAAGGGAATTAGGAGAACACACGAGGCTCCTGTTGTTCCTCAGAAAATGGGTAGAACAATCGAGGCCGTTCGTCGGATAAGCCGCGGCGCCGTGAAAAATAATATTATCATGAAGATAGAAAAATATGATGACAGATCTGAGAGAAGGACGAAAGAAAGTGATTTCTCAAGAGCGTCCAGTGGAGAAAATTGTTGTGATGGTGGCAAGAAAACCCAATTGACTGGGCAGATGGCAGAGAAGAGAGCTAAAAAACTGCTAGAATCGAAGAAGCAGCCAAACTCAAAAATTGGCGGATCACTTACGCAATCCAAGCAAGCAGAAAATGACTGCAAAAATGATAATGTCCACGAAAATTATAAGATTTTGGATTTAGACGAGAACCTCAGTAAGCCAAGCGAATTGCCAAACCACAAAAATAGAGCTGCTTATTCCAAGCAGAATTATTCTGAACAAATACGGGACGAACGCAATTCGAATGGGAAGAAAAAGCGCAATTCAAGTTCACATTTTAGTGACTCTTTGAAGAGAAACAGAATTTTGTCCCTACCTTGCTTAAGTGCCGAGCTGCTGAACAAAACTGCCGACGCGGAGACGTTTCCTCCGCTGCCGCTGGATCGGTCGTCTCCAAGTGGCCAAAGCTTCAGCGATCTTAGTCTCATTGCTGTCGAAGAGGCCGATGAGTTTGACAAACATTGTCCCGTTTGGCCTGGTCAATTGGGCCCGGTGGCACCGTCTGGACCATTTGCCATCGATCTCAACAGACCCGATGATGGGTTAGATGAGGACCAATTCGACCACAACTCAGAGTTCGTTCCAAAGTTTAAGCGCCGGAATTCTTTTGATGGAAGTCCACTAAAGCGAGACAGATTTTCGATGAGAAGTTCGGCGGACTCATTTGTATCGAACAGTTCGAAAACGACACTTTATATAGAAGAGCAGGATTCAACCCGAAGTTCGCAACGGAGCATTCTGAAGAAGAATTCTGTTCCTGTTTTTCGACCATTCTACCATTTTCCGAGCCCTGACTCCCTTGCACAACTGAACAAGACCAACTCAGGCCGATACTCACCCAGTCTCCCACACGCCTTCCGGTCAAGGTCCCACCTGGGCAGAGATTCTGATCGGTCCAGTTTGGCGTCGCGGAAGCTGAGCGTCTTAAGTAAATTTGATGGACACTCTCGTTCCTCTTCTTCGAGGTAAAGCATTTCAGACACCAAAAATTTATACTTCACTTATTTAAGGAGTTCATTTTTATTTATTCTTCACTTAAGGTGTTATGATTTTTGACGAGTGATTTCATTATAATGGAAATACAAATAACTTGATGCATCATTCTGCTAAAGATATGCAGTCTCACGGAAATTTAAATCATTTTCTGTATTTTAATAGTTTTAATAATTAATTTAATTGTTTAATTTAATTTATTAGTTTTTTAAAACTGCATATTTTGCCCTATGAAATTTAAAAATCTATTGAGCTTACTCTGCATATTCTCAAGTTTATGTACAGCTTACTCCCTTCGTTCAGGTCTCTGAGCTCGCTGGCCCTGAGCGACAGCGACTGCAGCGGTGATGAAATGAACGTCCATGCCGACGAAGTCGATGAGCAACACGTGAGTCCGTAAACGAATTGAAACCATGAAGATACTGAATTACTTTCTTACTGAAAATAATTAGGATGATAATCTGTCGTGGAATTTTTTATTTCCAATTAAAATTCTGTTCAATTGATGGCTTTTCGGAAAATGATGCTCAAAGTTGCAATCCTTACTGAATACTTATTACTAATACTTGCTGAAAATAATTTGGATTATTCCGTCGTGGTATTTTAGATTTCCAATCAAAATTCTGTTGAAATGATGGCTTTTTGGGCGCAAAGTTGCAAATTATTATCAGCTTACTGAGATAATTGCTCTCCAGAGAACCCACAAACGTGTTCATTGCTGAATTAAATTACCTTTTAATGTGAATCGAACGCAGTAAATTTCCTGGTAATCGATAGATTTGCTCAGCTAGAGCTTTAGAACAAAATCGCACACTACTTGTTAACTCGACCCGTTTTTAGCGCATTTTCTCATTTATGGAAAAAAGGCGCTTATTGTGCTCGTCATGTCCGCCCGTCCGTGACTTCACGTCACGTACGGACGAGAAAATGCGCTCTCTGTCACTCACTGCAGTGAGTACTGATACAATTTTTGAATGCGAGCAGGTGTCAGAGGAGCAGCTGAGGAGCTTCGAGTATCTGCTGGAGAAGAACGCGAAGAAGGTTTACCTCAGGGACTTGGACTCAGCCGCGGAGGTGGCGAGGCTTCGCAATTTCGTGAAGGAACGCGCGTTGCGGCAAGCGTCGTCGGTGCCGGACCTCATGGTTGCTCAACGCCGGCGCATGAAATTGGAGAACGAAATTGCCAAAAAACTTATCGAATTAAAGAACACCAAAGAACGCCACTGGTGGGAGTTAGATGAACACGAACCTCGAGACGAGGAAGGTAGCACAGATATGAATTTCAGCAGCGATTTCATTGTAACACCGAAAAATTCAAGTGAACCTTCGAAACCCCGGCATATTTTGCTAGAAAAGGGAGAGAAGGGTTTGTCTAAGGAGCAAGAGTGCAATAACCCTCGATCTCTGCACAACGGGACCCCAACAACCTCCCAATTATTCAAACGTGGAGTGGTTAGGAAATCCCGTTTTGGGAGCGGTACAGCGCGAGTGTTGCAAAACAGACTTTTTAACGCGACGATAAGTAAAGCTGCCACTGCCAAGATGGCGACCACCTCTAACACACAAAGCGATAAGCAAGATGCGTCAAGTTCAGTCTCGACTTTCAGGAGGTTTGGAAGCCTGCAAAACTTGAAGCAATACCAAAAGAAATCTTCAGTGAGTGTGAAGGTTTCTGGAAAGTCTTCCCAAATTCCAAGTTTCAAACGCACCAAATCTTTCGGTTCTCTTTACTCAGCGGGAGATCTTGCATCGCTACGTCCCGAAGCCTTCCAGAACAATGCCATGGAAATGGAAGAGTTGGCGAGTCTGGACTCTGGTGACCGTGACTCACGAATGAATAATTACTGGCATGCTAATACGACGGTGTTTTAACTAGGTATTAATTACAGTGAAGGGAGGATCATTCCTCAACATGGCTGGCGACTGGACACCAAGACCATACATAAGTGTCTGTCACTGTCAATCTTTGTGTCTGTCATCTTAAGTGTTTGTCACTGTCAATCTTTGACAGTGATTTAACTTTGGCTGTAGAAATACTCCCAGAAATTATATGCTTGTATAATTGCAGAAGTTTTATCACTCGAAATAATTCACTACTGAATACTCGTAACAACAAAGATAAATTGAATTTTGCACCTTATTAAATTATTTGTATCATACGAGGCAAAAAGTATGTGCATGTGTAATTAAATATGATGGTTCACAACCGTAAATACTGATGATAAAAGTCCAACAGGAAAATGATGAAGGTCCAACAGGAAAATGATGAAGGTCCAACAGGAAAAAAAAGGTCCAAAAAGCAGCTCAGATATGCATCTGACGAATGCCTCGAATTATTGTAAGGAATATAGTTTATTGATAAATGGGGAAACTGTTTTCTTCAATATTTATTTCAACAAGAAATAGTTATACAGTAATTTGTTTCAACACAAGTGTTCTTTATCAATTAGAAAGCAAGATAATCGGATATGTGCTCCGATTATCTTTCCGATAAAATTGAAATAACTTAAATTTGAATTTATTCAGTGTTCTCCTGAATATCAACTGCATAGTTACATATATCCGTTGATAAAATAACGTAAAGTACCTGAACAACACGCAAATGTGTGACAAACGAAGCAGGTAATTCAGGAGCGATTGATTTGCTGGCAAAAAAAAGCGACAACCACAATAGTCGTTTCGTTAACATAATTACTTAAAATTTAAGGGGAAGAATGTACAGTTTACTTAAGAAATGTTGATGTAAGCAACACGAAAGTCGCAAAAAACTTGGAGATGCTCTTAATACCCCTAAAATTTTGTATTATTATAGACAGTTTACATAATTTTCAATCAGTAATGCTACAGAAGATCTGGCAATTCCGTGACCTACGGTATTGGAATTCTACGATTATACCAGCATCAAAATATCAAATTTGAATGTATTCTAATAACACGTTAAACCTATCAAAATATTCCTTAAAATCTGGCTAACTCAAACAAATGCTTGAGTAGAAATTTATATGTGAATGACTATATTTTTAATGAGAAATTATAGCAAATGGTATTTCTGATTACGAAGCATTCACTGCAGGCAGGAAATAAAAACAAAATTTGAAATGCTTCAACAATAGAGGAGGAACTTAACACTAAATCAGAACACGACAAAGCCAGTATCAACCATTCATTGGAAAATGATGAATTAGTTTCATTGGGAAGTAATTACATTTGAATTAATTAATAAGGAGTCGTAAACTAAAGGGTGTAATAAGGGTGTAAACTAAACGCATGCGCTATGCGGATAGTGGCTATGATGTCACTTTTTCGTGTCTGCTGAAAAAAATTGATAATAGAATCAAGACGAACACCTAGAAATAAAAATTTCATCCAGAAATACGTCTCGGTCAAGAAATTTTCCTGATTAATAAGTAAGCCGAATTAATCGATAAAAGTTGAATAAATCTGAATGAATGCTTTCTAAACTGGCAATTACAGTGAAAACAAGGAGACAAGGTAACTAATTTAACAAGGAAACAAAGCAAGAGTTGCTGCTTAGGTTGTTAACAAATGGGTGATTAAGGCCAATCATTACAAATTACGCATATTAAGCGAAATTCATTATATTAACTTCGTTATTTTCATATTCCATGTAGGATAGAGTCGATCAAACTCTTGGGACGCGGCACACGGCATTAATTCATTAGAGTTACACCTTAAAATCAATCTTTGAATCATAGCATATCTTAAAAATTATATTAATCAACTGAACACAAGGAGCTGGAATCAGATGCTCTTGAACTCGCTATGAACTAATAAAAAATTCACAAACGATTTTTTTTTCAAATTATTCACATAGATACACTTATGGACTCAAAAAAAATAATAATAAAGAAATAAATAAAAACACCGATAATTATAACTATTTCAAATGATGCGTAACTCAGCCGCACAATATTAGAATACTGAAATTTTGGATTCGTGAAGAAGTGATATACGATGAAGGTTTCAATATAAGTAACAGAAATTTTTCTATCGCGTCACTTTAACGTAACAACGTAACGTATTTCGCGATAAAGGCATCATTATCGACAATATTTACACAACCCTAACAGTTTAAATTTTGTCCCCCATACCAACTGCTTCTCAGTAAAGAGTTCGTATTTCTCTATCATTTCAGGAGGTTGGGAATTATTTGCGATAAAATGTCGAAGTGCAGCGCGAGGCTGACATGCGACCATCATTGAAATATTTGGGTATACCCGCAACATTTGGGCCCGAGAGAAACATGGATCACGTATTTTCAGGCTGAACAGCATCAATTAAAAGTTTTATGACCGTAACAAGGACGTGACAACATATGCCGAATCACTCGTGTATTATCTCACAATACACTTAGAATTTGTCAATTCATTCAAATCATCACTCCGTGTCATTTTGTCAAGTTTAGGACGTCCTCGTCCAAGATAACGCTGATGAACCGTCTTTGTCGTCCGCCGTTTTTTCGGAAACGAAAGACCCGTTTCACGCCACTTCTTATATTCGACGATCACTTCAGTAAACGCTCTTGTCAGTCTTCGCAGCTGTATTTCCATCGAAATGTTCACAAAACACTCGAGAACATGACTAATGTTCCACAAGATAAAAGGTCATGGACACAAATATTTCTGCCAATTTTGAAAAATCAGCAAAAAATCTGCTTAAAATCAGCAAAAAGATTGTAAGCTAGTCTAACTCTAAAAAATTGACCCTATAACTGCCCTGCCTACACAACAACTTGACCCCACAACTGCCCTGCCTACACAACAACTTGACCCCACAACTGCCCTGCCTACAGAAAAACTTTATACGAGCGAAGTTCTTTAACTATAAAGCTTATAAGGTAGAGGAAAGGCGGAAGATAGAGAGATTAAAAGTTAAGTCTCGAAAGTTTAGAGACGTAAGACTTCGATATATGAAAAAGTTTAGAAAAGCTGAAGAAAATCGACAACGGAGAAAATTGAGTACTTCGAAATTAACAAGACTTATTACCAGCATTTAGCAACAAGAATTACATGTTTAAAAGTTTTCATACATAGCAAGAAAACGTCATGCTTTATAATAGATTCAATGACATCATTCGAGATCTGATGTGTGGTCATTGTTAGTTAAAATCTCTTATCGTTGCTTTTTATTCAACATAGAAATGCTATGTTTAAAATAATAACGTCAAAATGTTACGTACAAAATACCACGTAACAAAAACGATGTATAAGAGCACGTAATACGTTGTAAACTAAGTTATTCGTTACTTTGCCGTGATTTTCATACACTCATAACTCTACATGAATAAGAATTATGTTAATTCTTTTACAGACAAAGCTGAATGATCTTCAAGCTTCTTCATAATCCTGCTAATTGAACAAATTTTTGGATAATATGACCGATTAATTTATTTGAGTGTACGAAGCGACCGTGCAGTTAAAGCGCTGTATACACATCGCCAGAATTTTCTGCAAACTTATAAAAAATGTGATTTTTTCAGCGTAGAGTTTTTTCAAGACATGGTGGTAACCTCTTTATACGTTCGGAAAAATTGATGACTGAAATTGTCTAAATATTGCAACAGTTTCTTACCCACAGCACGTTCAGAAAAAGGGCTTTGCATTGTAAAGCCCTATTAATGGGCTAAACTGAATCAAGATGACCGTCAGAAACACGAAAAGTGCATCGCGATTTGGACAATAATTCCTACATTTTTCTGAGCGTTGCCGACATATATGAGAGCGTAAGTTCAAGAGAGAAGTTTGCTCTTACAGTAGAACAAGTGTTTCATAAGATCAAGAAGATATGTACGAGGAATGCATTGGTTAAGATAAGGAAGAATAAACTATGCTATAAGATATTGCCACGGTTAAACTGCTAATAATATTTTCAATTGTCGCGATTATTCATCGCGTTTTGCAGCGCGAAGTGTACGCGATTTTAACATTTCAATTTTTATGAACACTATACAAATGTTTTCTCTAAGATACTTCCATGTACATTTGTTGATGTAATAAACATTTTTTTTATTCACATCATCCTTCACTCCTGGAAAATCGTGAAATAGAAAATTCCATAGGAGTTAATTTTAAAGCATAGTTATATTTAACGGCTTTCTAGCGGACTCGCCAAAGATATTGCGATTATTTATTGTAATACAAATAAACTTACTAAACTAAAGATCACATCGCAGGTATCAGAAAAGTAAAAAATTTTACCCCCAATACAAACTTTTCTCCTATATTTCCACCGAAATTAAGTAGGCTTTTTACCAAGAAACCCTCAACTCTAAACAAAAATTCAATTATAGAAAATTTTAATTAATTCATCAAATTTGGTAACAGTCACGTGAGAGCAACCATGAACACGCAAATGTTTCAACTTCATTCTAAACATAATTTCCTTCCGTGAAAAGAGGTGCCTGTACCGAATCATGTACTGAAAGTAACGATGCGAATCTTAAAATCATCAGCAAACGAGACTGATATCCTAGTTAAATCCTTAACTAGATCCTAGATTTGGATGGCATGTGCTTCAAGTTACTAGATTTCTAAAGTGTGGTTCAGCAGCATCGAGGCTCTACCTGCCACCGCAAACTTCAGTGGCGTAGAAAGGAAGTTTTTTGTAGACCCAATGTTCAGTCCCGTTGAGGAGGTGGCCAGTTTGATTGTCTTTACCAATTCCCTTTTTAGTTTCGGCACTGATTCTAGTTTCGTCCAAACCAGGGCTTTCACGTTCTGTTCTTTTTTGTAGTTTGCGGAATAATTTCCCGCAGTAAGGCTCGCCTTTAGCCAGTCGCTTGGCTTCGTAGTTACGTTGCAGCGTCTCGAGACGTTGCTTGTGTGCCGTCGCCGTGTGCATGTCCCGACGTCGCAGGGCCGTCGAAACGTCTTGCCATAAACGTCTGGACTCGCCTTCGTCTTGGGCCCTTAAAGGCCTAACTCTCTTGCGCGGCACGGGCTCCATCTTCGCTACGTCAAGAACCTCCACCATGTTGCCCTCAGAATCCTTCGAGTTTTGAGTCTCACATGAGGTTTTTGAGGTACTCAAATTTTCGTATCCCTCCGGATACGTGAAAGTTACACTCTTGTCCCACTCACCTCCAATTCTGCACAGAGTTTCTCCAGCAGGTCCCTTCACTTCTCCACTTACTCGGTGCAGGGAATTTCCATAAAAAGGCTTCGTGTGGAACACAACGTTGGCAGCGCAGCCTGATTCTGCACAAGCAAGCGTCACTCGGCCCCCTAATTCCGACCACGGTTCTGTGATGATACTGCGCGCGAAAGCTGATGGCATGGACAGACTGTAAGTTTCAGTGTTTGAAGATACCCCTGCCTGTTTAAAATTACTGGAAATATTTTCTGTGATCTCTTTATTCAACGATGAATTGCTTTCATCGATGTCCAATTGTCTATCGGGAATTCGAGATGAAGTTCCATGTTTCGGCTGCACATTTTCCCCTCCTCCAGCATCCAATCTTACCCACTCGTCCTCTTGAGCGGACAAAGGTCCCTCTGACGAGATTTCTTTGGCATTTCTAGATACAAATTCTGTTCTTTCTGTCTTGTCATCAGAACTCGTCAGTATATCAGAATTTTTAGGTGAGACTTTGTCGTGTGGTGTCCCTCTGGCTTGCGTTTCATCCGACACGCCTCCCACTGTCAGGGTGATGTCCCCGAGGAAGTTCACTTCGATGAAGGTACCCATGAACTTGGACCGGGTGTAAATATGACCGTTGACACACAGCTGCTTCTCTGGGCACTCGAAGAAGAATGCAGACACTGAAAAACCAAAGCAATCAGTCATATAATTCCACAGAATATTACCCGAAAAACAAGAGATAAAATTTTTGTACAAATGCTCAATAAGATTCTATGACATTTTGTGTAACGTCTATTTGTTTTCATTAGTGACACAGGTTAGTTTAACTACAGTAGTGAATTACAAAATTACCACATTAGAATTTAAGGATTACTACTAGTGGTACTTAGAAGTTTTTGGTGAATGATAATACAGCCCAGTACATTAATTATCAATAACAAAGAAGAAGCAGAAATTAATGAAAATAAACCAACGTTAGTAACAAGTACCTAACATTATTCAGTCGGTAAATTATAATCGTATTTATTCATGTTAAAATAGAATTAGTGATTATTAATAATAGAAATTATAAATATTAATGATGATTACTGCTGTAAATCAATAAGAAATGACATAATTACATTATAATAGAAATACGGTAATGGTCATTAATAATAGGAATTAGAGAATATTAATAATCATTAATAATAGGAATCACAGAATATTAATATGATGCTTACTGATGTAAATCAACAATAAATGGCATTCATACTACAATAAAATTATTGATCATTAATGATAGGAATTACCGAATTACAAAATATTAATGATAATTAATCATAGAAATTATATAATATTAATGATAATTACTGTTGTACATCAAGAAATAATGTCATACATACCTACTACAATAAAATTGATGATCATTAATGATAGGAATTATAGAATATTAATGATCATTACTAATAGAAATTAGATAATTTTAATGATGATTACTGCTGTAAATCAAGAAATAATGTATTACCAGGAGGGTGATGAGACACTTGCTCTGCGGCGAACCGTACGCTCACATAGTCAGGCTTCTCACGCCCGCCTCCTGATGCCTGGCTTACTGGTTGCTCCTGCTGTAAATAAATAAAATATTAATTAACTTAACTATAATTAAAATTTTTTGTTAAACATATGAATTGACGTATATAGTTAAAAATATATTTGATATTTACTAATGTTCAATATGATGCGAATATATAGACAGAATTTCGTAGAGCAACATCGTCGAAAATGTTTTTAAGTCGAAAGTTTTTCATACGGGGTCACCTATTAAACTCGAACATTTTTCATACGGGCCCACATATTAAACTCGAACTTGATTAATACGGACCCACCCATCAAATTCGAACGTTTTTCATACGAGCCCACCTATCAAACTGAAACGTTTTTCATATCAATTCCTACGTACGCTCCTATGTATGGGCCTCTCAATTTCTCAATACCTATTACGACGCTCTTAATTCGAGTAAATTTCCCCTGAACTCGAGTAAATGTACCCTGAATTCGAGTAAATTTACCCTGAATTCGAGTAAATGTACCCTGAATTCGAGTAAATTTACCCTGAATTCGAGTAAATGTACCCTGAATTCGAGTAAATGTACCCTGAATTAGAGTAAATGTACCCTGGATACGAGTAAATGTACCCGGAATTCGAGTAAATGTACCCTGAATTCGAGTAAATGTACCCTGAATTCAAGTAAATTTACCCTGAATTCGAGCAAATATACCCTGAATTCGAGTACATGTACCCTGAACTCACCAAGGAAGGCCTAGGCACCCGCCAGCCGCACTGGAAAGTCTCGCCGAGGACGGGGTTGTAGGGCTTGCTGGGGTGGCTGCCGCAGCGGCTCAGCTTCACGCTTGATAGATACCAGCGAACTACTGCTACCATGCGGGACTTGCTGCTACCACATGCCGCTATCCTGTGATGGTATGTCAGGGTTTAGAGGTGGGTTGGTGGTGTACAGGTAGGGGAGAAGGTATAAGGGTAGGGAAGAAGATATAAAAGTAGTTGAGTGAGAAAGTATAAGGGTAGGTGAAAAGGTAAACGGGTACCGTAGGTGAAAATAGTGAGAAGGTAAGGTAATAGGCAAGACGCTATGGTAATACCATGCATGTAGTATAGGTACCCTAGGTGACAGTGTCACCGTCACAAGCTAATGTTTTGGCGCTCAGAACAATTAAAAAGAATCTAACTTCACACGCCGGTAAAATAACAAATAAGTCTGAAATTACATAAAATTATGAGTACCCATAGTTATTCAATATTGAAGCAAAATAATTAGAATTTATACCTATGATAACAAATCATATGCACGATTCATAAGGAAGAATCTTACAATGCTAATCCTCGAAGGCATAACTTGAAATTCACGTGACAATATTATTATTAGACAATTATTATTATATTATTGTTATATTGTCTATTAAGACAATATAACATATCCATTTGTCTGTGTGAAGCCTCACTTCAAGAAGAGTTCAGGATGACCGATGAGGTCAGCGAACATCTCGAGGAGCGACCTCCTCTGCAGGACGAAGGTTGGCAGCGTGACTTTGGTCAAGTCCATGCCGAGGCGCAGCTGCGTCAGGAGGTGCATGATCACAGAGTGGTGCTGGTGGGTGCCTTCAGTCTGCGCGGCGCTGTCGTCGCACGTGGACGTGTCGTCGTCGTCGCTCTCTTCAGAGTCGCTCCCGGGGCGACCTTTGAGACGAGGACAACGTAAGATACAAAGGAACTTTGTCTGTGTTTGAGATATAAAAAGGCTAAATATTTATTCAATATATAATGGCTGATAGAAGAAAGAGTTCAAATGAAAAACTCTCGGAAGGATTCGGATGATGTGGAGTTAGCATGACAGAGAAAAACGTTACTCATTGAAAACGTTATAGGCTCGTGAAATAAATTCCCAGCAGGAGAAGAAAATGTCCCTCTCACAAGGACCTGAGAAAAATATACATCCTGTGTGATGTGACGGATTATTACATAAGTAACAAATAAATGTTTCTGTTTCTAAGAGGAATATTGCGTGTCATTGATAGTCAAAAAAAATGGCGGGTTGAGAGCATACCAAAGTCCACCATTTGCCCAAAGAGGGCATACCAAAGTGTTAGTGAGATAAAAGAAAGTAGAATACAGAACAGCAAACGCTATTTGTGATTCATGTAAATTTGCAACAGGAAATGCTGTTTGTTATTCATCTTTCATCTAAATGAAAAACATGCGGAAAAAACACAAACTCGCTCACGAAGAACCGTCGAAAATTCGAAAGCATTCGAAATAAAAGAATGGCATATGCAGAAACCATATAGACAAACAAAATAAACAGCAATGAAAATAATTATCATAGAATGAATCCCAAAGCTAGTTTTTAACAGCCACTTTGTCACGTTATAAAGTGTAAATAAAAGTTAAGAGAATGAATAAATATTTGAAAACCGCCCAATTCCATCGGCAGATAAACTCCATTAACAGATGGACTTCATCAAAAGATTTAAGACGACAAAATTATACTGAATATACAGGAGTAGAAACGCATCGCTTTAATTATTAATAATCTAAACAGGTAGCACACGGCAACGGAATTCATGACTGAATTATAACAATAGCGATATCATTCCGTTATTAAAATTCAAAATACAAGATACAGACAAAAGTTCTATGAAGTTTGATAAGTCATAATTAGTTAATTGTAATGATAAGTTTCCAATAATTCTTTTGTTCATTTATTCAATTGCTTGTTATGAGGGTAGATTAGTGTAATGAAAACAAATGTATATAGTTTGCACAATCACCCAATGATATCAGTAATGATGATTTAAATGATTCTAGCTTATAAAGCATTAACTTCCACGTAAGTAACTCAAAAAATCATCTGAAAATAATCGGATTAGATACGTTACTTTCAGCAAAAACTTACGACATAAGGAAAAGCAAACGATGAAGCTGATTGACCTTCTATGTATTCTTAGGATAACTGTACAGGTTTGTGTGGAGAAATCGAACGCTACACAGACTACACATATTGGCAATTACTGTACCTACTCGAATGGAACGATATACAAACTACACAAAAATTGGTAGGATTACAGTACCGTCTCGTGTGGAAGTAATCGAGCAATATACAAACTACACAAAGACGTTTGTGGCTCGCGAGAGATCAACTCGAATAAAAATATTTTAAGCTCAAGATTTACCCCATAAAGGTTTACAAATTTAAATATCCTGTACAAAGAACTTGTACAACTCATGAATGATCTGTATAAAGAACGTATAGAACTCATGAGTGGTTTGTATATGACACTGCATCCATGACGTGAGCCTCAACAACATAATTCCGAATAAAACATAATCATAAAATTTTCGTTAGGCAGCGACTTATGGCTAACATACGTGGGTAGATTCTGTTTTAAAAAGTCTAAATTTTATGAATTGCTCTTAATTTTTAATTTATTCTTTTAAAGCTCCAGTGATTCATTAGATTAATTAATGAAGACGCATCCATAACTCAAGACAGAAAAATTAGCAAAGTAAACAATATTGAGGTTTGTTTCAAGCATTAACTAGATCCACTTGCAAAACTTAATTAATCAAGCGCGCAATTTCATTCATTCTGCAACCTATGCTGTAAGAAAATCCAACCTCTACAAATGGAAAAGATTGCTTTCGAAATCGAAAACAATCGAGCAATGGATGTATTTAAAATCAATAAAAGTATTTAACTATGCATATGATAAGAGAATAACATCAGCCGTGATATTTATTGATATAACGTGAAGACAGCCGAAAACAAGCATGAACGGAAATGTTTTCGTTGAAATGTGCGTTTCCATGAAATGTTGAAACGGGTGTTCAACAAAAATGTTTTCGTTGAAACGTGCGTCGTGAGAGACACGACATTAAACGAAACCAAAAACGTAACATTAAACACAATCAACTTTGGAAATTCAGCCCTGAAATAAGACCACAAAAATCTGGGCTAAAGAAGAATGATTTGCGATGCTTAGCATGACAGACATTAAAACTATAAATTCAATGTCACAAAGAAAAAAAATCCGATTTTATGTGTAATTTGAGATATGTCACCAAATGATATAACTTTAAACTAATCCATAAACTATTATATCGAAACAATTACAAATTAATAAGGTTTCTTTTCCTTTGACTGTAATATTTGTCTACCAAAAAATTGATTCAAGGTAAGAACTGGCTCAGTCCTAAATACAGTTTGCAATATTACGGAACTGCTTAACAGATATCAGTTCTAGGGTGCACAGCTTCGTAATTTGCTACTTGCATGTACAAGCACTGTGTTCACGAAACACGGAATCTATACGAACCACGCACAATCAAGACCATTTTACATTCAAGGGTACACATGATACGTGCACTATCACGACATGATATGATGATTGTTCTCATTACCTTCACAAACACCACCACTAACTCTACTACATATTTCTGAAAGACGTGAATAGCCCTGCTTTGAACTCATAGATACAACGTGATTATGCAATATTTTTTAGATGACATCTATTTCGTGATTTTTCGGCTAGAATACAGCAATAAAATATAACTATAACAAATTGAAACCGATTATAACAGAAATCGATGATTTAAAATCAGGGTTCTAGATAATGATTAGCGACAAGGTTTGGGGCATCCTCGTACGTTCTGGAAATCTGGTCCCTGGGACACAAGGTTAGTCCCTGGGACACAAGGTTAGTCCCTGGGACACAAGGTTAGTCCCTGGGACACAAGGTTAGTCCATGGGACACAAGGTTAGTCCCTGGGACACAAGGTTGGGCCGAGGGACATAAGGTTAGTCTCAGGGACACAAGGTTAGTCCCTGGGACACAAGGTTGGGCCAAGGGACACAAGGTTAGTCTCAGGGACACAAGGTTAGTCCCTGGGACACAAGGTTGGGCCGAGGGACACAAGGTTGTCTCAGGGATACAAGGTTGGTCCCAGGGTCACTAAGTTGGGCCTAGGGCCACTAAGTTGGGCCTAGGCCCGTATGAACAGTTCAACACCAAACACAAGAAGCAGTACACGCCTGTCCACTGCAAATCAAAATATTGAAAATATATTGCTATAAATATTTCATACAGTGTGTGACGGAAATCAGGATGTTGATACACTGAGCTTCGAGTGTATGTATATTATGACTGTTATATGATACGTATGATAGTGTTGTTTGTTATATATTATGATTGTTGTTGTTGTGCAGTTTTGGCGTCGTTAGATTGTTAGAAAATATTGTGATTTGTGCGCACTAGGAATAAAACCAGTAATTTTGCTACAGTGTTAATTAAACACTAAGCGAGTTCCTTTTTGAATGTGAACAACGTTCGAGTTAACTCCTGGTTATAATTGAAAAATTTGATAGCGCCAATAATGGCATCTTCAATGAGCGAATAAGTAGAGCATGAAAGTATTACTTTAATGGATTATCTTCGTATTATTGTTAATTTAATGCGCTACTTACACACACTAGCAAACATAGCATTTACTTACACGCTGCAATCGCACTGTAAGGTGACAATGTTGAGACCATTCGTCCCTGGATTTTTACTCATCGATATCTTCCTTGTTGAAAGATAATCTCCTGCACTTCGATATGTTCATAAACATCTCCTTGTTAGCCCTTCCCTGTTTATCAAGTCACGCCCTTGGTGACGTCGAATAGCGAAGCTATATGAACTCTGTCTCAAGCGATTAACTTCGGTCTCGAGCGATTATAAATAATAAATAATAATCAGTCTTGGGCGAGGACCGCTACGGTATACCCCATTGCTCCTGTCCATGTCAAACAGGACAGTAACGCTAGCTCAACGTCTGAGTAGAGAACACTAGGATATACTCTAAGACTTAATAAATTCTTACTTTAACTGGACGCCGAAGACATCAGTGTTAAAGATCCAAAATATAACCTTATTTTATCCTAAACTGTAAGCCGAACTTTAATAATCCCAAATAATACTATATAATCCTTTACGCTGTTCCTCAATATCCTCGGACCACGCTACAACCGGACCAACCCTCAACTCTTACTTAATTACTATACATAAAAGATGTGTACAGAAAAGTACATATGACAGTACACAATATCCCGATGAACCAGCTACTAATTTTGTTCGCATTTCGGCTCAATGTACAATGTAGTACAATGCTAACGATCAGCCTCGATAGTCAAATCCTCAGGAGTGATGTTTCCAAACTTCTATATTTTAAATTATTTAAGAATATGACTATACACAGGAAGATACAAAGGAGTTTTTTAAACAGGCTATAATATTAATCATAACAACTACAACTAAATTAAAAGCTAAATGGCAAGTTATATCAATATGTGATTGACCTGGATTTGTTTGTGCATTTCTATAACCGAAATTACATTTATTATTTAACAGCATCTACAATTTAGGCAGAAATAACATACCTAGCTAACAATTGACTAACAATTATTTATGAGAAGGAAATTTGTTCCGAATTAATGGCATATTCTCTCTCGATGAACCGTTAAATACTGACAAGTTAATTATGAGATCAATTGTTGTATCCGAGCTTAGATTAGTTATTTTTCTAATAGCTTACAAATTTCAATCAAATAACCTCAATATATGATCACCGAGAAATTCTAAATAATTATTTTTTCCACGGGTTTTCTTACAGCAAAAACAAGTCAAGTTACGTAGTTCAGACCAGCTATAAGCCCACAATTTTCCGAAGTAATTACTTTTTCCACTGGTTTTCTTACAGCAAAAATGAATGAAGTTACGTCAGTTCAGACCAGCTATAACATCACAATTTTCCGAAATAATTATTTTCTTCACGGGTTTTCTTACAGCAAAAATGATTCAATTTACGTCAGTTCAGACCAGCTATAACCCCACAATTTTCCGAAATAATTATTTTCCTCACGGATTTTCATACAGCAAAAATAAGTCAAGTTACGTCACTTCAGACCAGCTATAACCCCACAATTTTCCGTAATAATTACATTTCCCACTGGTTTTCATACGACAAAAATTAGTCAAGTTACGTCAATTCAAACCTGCCATGTAACCCCACAATTTTCCGAAATAATTACTTTTCCCACGGGATTTCATATAGCAAAAATGAGTCAAGTTACATCAGTTAGACCAGCTATAAACCCACAATATTCCGAAATAATTACATTTCCCACGCGTTTTCTAACAGCAAAAATGAGTCAAAGTCACATCAGTTCAGACCTGCGATGGCGTTACTGTGCAGCGCGTGACGGGAGATCGTAGGCAAGGTGGCAGACTCTGGGACTCGGAGCGCAGATTCATCGCCACCATTCACGCAATCTGTCATGAATTATAACAATTAATGAAGGGAAATCGGTTGTGATGTATCATTGCCACAGAATATACCATCCCTGTTTGAATTACGAGCTGGCAAGATTCCCGCCATTTGGAAAAACATCATAATAAATACTGCCAAGCCCGGGAAACTTATAGATTAGGACTCATCCTGCCGCCCCATCTTTTTCCTCTGCCCAGCAGTACAAATTTTGCAGCTGCTTTTAGTCCCACACCTTCCAACCTACCTTGCCCAACATGGTTCCAAACAAAAGGTTACTCAAAAAGGAAGTTCTACTCTGACGAGAATCGAGTCCACTGGCAACGTTGCTAGAGGCAGGCTGTCGTCCTGCAATTAACCCCAGAACGCAATCCCCTTTTCAGAGCAGTTAACATAGGAATTTCCCATAGATCCTTGATTTTCTATGCACTCTTTAGCCATACCGTTTACGAGTCCTCCCCGGGGCGTATTTTGCTGAGCTTTTGTGCGTCTCCAATTGATCTGAAGCTAATAAATTAGACTTAACATCCAGTAAATCCATCGTCACGCTTTTTACCCCTGACATATATCAATCACGCACACATCCTTCCGCCGTAATCTGTTACGGCAAAATCCTTCAAGAAAATAAAGAACCACAAGAACCCTACGAATTCTAGAAGCGCATGCTGGTACAAATTGGGATTATCGAAGGCGGACATCGTTGCCGCCTACCGGACCATTGATAGTCCAATCCTCAACTACGCAGACCCAAACTGTTACCCCATAGCTTCTCGCACCACCATTGCAGGCCTTCAAACTATACAGAACTCTGTCCCTCGTTTGGCCATCGGATGCCTCAAAATGGCTAAAATGGACTTCCTTCAACCGCGTAGACTTTGCATGTCCACAGTTCCTTGTACGCACCCTCCAGCCCTCTCATCCCACTATTCGTATGATTATTGCCCCCTCTGAAAGCTTCCCCTCAGGTCCAGCCTCAGCCGCAACCCTCAGTGTCTCCTCAGCGGGAGACTTAGCGTCTCCTCAGACTTCCTGGACGGCCTCCCGGCTGGCCCAGCTCCCTTCTCTTCCAGTGGTGGCCCTCCCACGCCCACCACCTGAGCCGCCCCACGAGCGCGTATGAAGTCGAAACAAGAAAACCAACAACTTGTCTACCACCTAGACTTACCTCATAAACATCTGGAATCAAAAACTATCAAACTTATAGTTACAGACTGCGTTTCAATGATTTCATTCTTCGTTGAATGTGTCTTGCACAATGAAGCCTTCATCATCGAAGCATCAAATAGATAGAATAACTGATATTTTAACGATGTCACATGATTGCTTGAATCGCAAATTCACTAGAAATTTAAAAGCGAAGAAAACTTCACAAAAATTCAGCATATCTCTATTGAAAACGTTTTCAATAGAGATATGCTATATTTTTGTGGAGTTTTCTTCGCTTTTCTCTTTCTTTTCAATTTCCTGACATTTGAGAACACAGCTCACCTGACATGACGTGTGACGGTGACCCAGAGCTCGAGGTCGTCAATTCATCTCGTCTTGGGACTTCAGAACTGACTTCTGCAGCTCTGTCCAGCGTCCTTTGGTTCTGGACGTTGATCCCAGGCGCTCCTTCTGACGTCCTTTGGTTTTGAATGTTGCCATCAGGCGTTTCCTGCAGGAGCTTTTGGTTACGGACGTTGGTATCATGAGGTCCTTCTAAGGATCTAGCCTTGGTGGCCACAAAAGGGCGCTGAGTTTCGTCTTGCTGCTGCTGCGCCGCCCTCGGGAGGGATGGAGACGACGCGTTCAGAGATGAGGTCTGCGTGAGAGGCGCGTGTATTGTGTCCGTGTAAAATACGGAAGAACGTTGGCTGGGGTTAGGGGAGTGGGGGGCTGTCCTTGTGGGGGGTGACGACCGTGTGATAGGGGAGGCTGCTCTCGGCCTGCACGAAATACAGAATGCAATTCAACATTTTTTACGTGTAATCGCTTTATTGAAGTTTTACATGCTTGATAGTCAAAATTTACTTGAATAGGTAATGCAGATACAACGGCACGAAGGCCACGTTTTTCATATACTGGCGTACTGAAAGCGTTGATTTCCTGCCCAGTCAGATAGTTAAGAGTCAAAAAGTGAGTTAAAATAATGAATTATAGCGCGACAGTGAACACGATTTTATAAATAAAATTTTTATTGTTTTACAAGTTTAAAGCGATTTTTTTAAAGTTTTGTGCTGATGTAGCATGAATTTTCTCGGATTCCATTGTTCAATTGCTGATTAGTTTTTTTTTGGCACAAAGATTCCTACACAATATTTAGATGATCTTATCTTTTTTACAAACTGCCTAATTACACAAAAGGGTCCCAGTCCCACAGGGGGACATCATAGTCCCAGTCCCACAGGGGGACATCATAGTCCCAGTACAGTCCCACAGGGGGACATCAAAGTCCCAGTCCCACAGGGGGACATCATTGTCCCAGTCCCACAGGGGGACATCATAGTCTCAGTCCCACAGGGGGACATCAAAGTCCCAGTCCCACAGGGGGACATCATTGTCCCAGTCCCACAGGGGGACATCATAGTCCCAGTGCCACAGGGGGACATCAAAGTCCCAGTCCCACAGGGGGACATCATAGTCCCAGTCCCACAGAGGAGGCAGGCATCCCCATCAACAGAACGAGGGGAACATGGGGATGCGATCAAGCAAAACTTAAGTTCATGACAAGATAAAGAAGGAATTCCATTAATTACACAAAAGGGTATAAATATACATCAAATAAAAGGGTCCCAGTGAAAATTTACAGACGCGTCAGCTTCTGATTTGGAGTACCAGAAGCTGGGGGCCTGGGGCGACTCTAAATTTTGTTAGGGGGTTGGACTGAAGTTTGTGGTTTGAAAAGGGATAGAGGATTTAGTTTGTTTGAAAAGGGGTTAGCGGACTTATAAGAATAAGTGTCTGTGAAAGGGGTTGGTGGGGATTTTGGTCTGTAAGAGGGGATGAACGGGATAAGAGAAGATTTCGGTCTGCAAAAGAGGGTAGGGGTGTGAAAAACAATTGCGGTCTGTGAAAGGGGATGAAAAACAATTATGGTCTGTGAAATGGGATGAAAAACTATTAGGGTCTGTGAGAGGTGATGAGGGTATGAAAAGGAATTGAGGTCTGTGCGAGCTGATGAGGTATGAAAAGTACAGGGGAATTCAAGAGGGGATGACGAGGGACGTTAATGACGCACATGAGGGGTGAGGGGCGGCGGGTGAAGGCATCAAAAGAGGTGCGGCGTCTGAGGCGACTGGGGGACCGCCCCAGCAGGGGGGATAACCCTGCTCTGGGGGGCGCTGAGAACCTATATTATAATAGTGATGTGTGAAGTAGGGGAGGAAATAGGATATTTGAAGGGAAATTGAAGAAAATAAAAAAAATCAGTAAATTAGGGCATGAAATAGGGGAGGAAATAGGATATGTGGAGGGAAATTGAAGAAAATTATGAAAAAATCACCAAATTAGAGACATTTTAGATATACTATGAGTAGAATTATAGAATGTGAGTGAAATTAGAGAAATGCACAATTCTACAAAAATTGTGGAAAAAATACACAATTTCACAACTTGGGGGGGAAATAAGCAACTGGAAGAAAAATATTATTGAAGTAGAAATATTAATTCAATGGGAAGAAATATGAACAAAGCACAGACAAAAGATTTTCTTAGAGGTAAAGCAAGGGTAAAGTTATATTTGAAAGCAGATGGAATATATCATTCAATCACATAGTATTTATAATGAAAGTAGAAAGGCTGTATGAATAATATGGGATGAATTTGGGATGGATGCAAGACAAAAGTAGGATTAAACTGGGATGAATGTGATACGAATGACAAGATGTAACCAGTTTTAGATGAACAACAAAAAGAACAATACAATTACTTATACTTATATAACAATATAAGTAAATAAGAATGGACAGAAACTCTATGAAGTCACATAGAATCAACAACCAGCAGCATTACTAGCTCACATGCAAATAATGTCAACATTCATCATTCAGGAAGAACGGATGTGTGTTTCTAAGATAAGTCATAGTATGATGAGTTTATTGATATTGATTAATGATTAATTTGCATCACATGAACGGTATATAATAGAAAAAAGTTTATATTGACAGCGATATAATAGGAAACAAATGCACACAATGAGGTGATAACCAAATGAAGGGAATAAAAGAGATAAATATAATATTATATTTTATTATATGAAGGAGACTGGAGGAATGGTAGAAAAAAATGGGCAAGGTAAGCTAGAAATGATGAATATAAAAGGATGGGGAGAGGGAGGGAGGAGGGCCAAGGGAGGGAGGGAGGAGGGCCAAGGGAGATGGGAACAACACAGAACATTTAGAAGGCACATCAACTACACATGTAATAACTAGGAAAACTGGGACAAAACTAACAATATGAAATAAAAATGCCCTCTCCGCATGGTATAGCATAAAATTTTATACCTTTTGGAGAGGGAATTTTCATCTTAAAATTTGTAAATTTTATACATTTTCTTTACTGAAATATTTGCAAGACTGATCAACCAGCACAGTTTTCATCCCAAGTGCTGTATAAGATGCCAATTTTACAGTAATAAAATATATAAAAATACTTTTTAAGAAAGATTCCAGGATATTATATTAAAATTTAAATAGGGTTGGTCTAAACTCTAAAGTTAAGGGCTTCACATAGTTTAAAAAAGGAGTTTAAATACGTACTCTGTGCAAAATAATTTGGATATCTCACCAGCCTAAAACTTGCAGGCAGAGTTAGGTACTCTAAACTCTCCTTCATGAGTCTTTTGACAAAAAATATTCAATAATGTAGTGAGTGCAAAAAAAGGCAGTGAACACTTATATGTTCCTTCGAAGTTGTTATCCTATAAAAAATATTTAGAATGGATTAAATTAAATCTAAACAAATAATTAACAGCTAAAAAGAGGTACAAATTTCTCTAAACATTTAATGGAGAAAACGCATGCATGCTGAGACATTGATTTTGTTAATGCACATTAAGACAGAATATGAACTAACATAACAGTTTTTAGACAATGCCATTTTCAGGGACCAAGCATAATAATGAAAATCATGTACTGCATAATACGATAGTAAATTTGAGAACAGGATGAAGTGGAAATTTATAAGTTTTTTCCAAGAAAATGTTAATCTATTTTTCATAATAAGATAATTGCAGAAATAATCTTGATTAAGATTAAAATCAACAGACTTCGATTCTGAAATAAAGATAATATTTGCCAAATTTTCTGAAAAAAAGTCAGATTCCCACAGAAAATTAAGAGAAAAAAGTAAAGATTCAACAAAGCTATCATTCAAGGAAATAGAACTCATATTTACGTTAATGACATAAGTCAAGGTTTACTCTGAGCTTTACAATAAAAGTTTATTTACAAAAGCTGTTCCAGTTATGCCCACAAATGCAAAACAAATTTCTTGGGCATTTTAAGAGAAAAGTAAGGAATTTCCTCCCTAGAAAAATGTAGGATAAACATTTGACTTGGGAAAATTAAACGGCTGCTAATGAAACAAGGTATGACTGAATGCCATTATTAATATGCAGGAATGCCATTATTGATATGCAGGAATGCTGACCTGTGCTGCAGCTGCTGCTGTTGCTGCAGCACGCTCAGGCAGCTGTCGAGGCACAGCACCGTAGCGTGGCTTGTTGCTTTGAGCAGCAGCAGCTGAGGCTCGCTGCAGTTCAGGCCTCCTGAGGTAATGATAAACTTTCATTTGCTTTTGCCGAAATTGAGAACAAGAATAAAAAACTAGGAAAAGGATTTTCTCATGTACAAATTTATGAAAAGAATGTTAGTTTTCAAATACAAGTGACTTAATTAAACACAAACAGTTCACACAATATAGCACAAACTTCAGGGTTCCTCATTGAATTATACACGAGACACAAAATAAGAGTAATTACACATCCATTTCTAGAATCTACATCACATTAAAATAAAATTTCGCCCAAAAATATTTATTTTTGTTTAATTTTGGACCTTTTATCATAGAAGCTATTAAATTTCTAAAAATAATTGTTGAATTATTCTGAAAATAATTGTTGAATTATTCTAAAAATAATCATTAGTCGGCGCAATAATTACCGTAGGAAGGCAGGTCCTCAACAGCAGCGGCCAGGCTGCTGTGTTGTCTGTGCGCAGACTGCAGCAGTTCACTGACTTGTGTGAAGGCGTCCAGCACAGCAAGACCACCCAGACTTCCTCCTACTCCCCCATAATGTTGGGGCTCTACACCCGTGCCCTGGGTGTTATTGGAGTGGGTGTTGGCAGTGGGATAGCTGGAGTTTGGAGCGTGTGCACCAGATTTGGACTGGGGGTTTGTGAGAGATGAGGGACCACTTGAGCCTCCGTTTCCAACTCGACGTTCACGAGAAGGAAAGGCTGAGTGATGCTGGAGCAGGGAAACAACTTGTAAGTTCAAATTAGATGGCAATAAATAATTAAAATAGTTGTTCTATCACAGTAATGCTTAAAAAATCTCAGTACTATTATGGTCATAACAATAACCGAGCATCAATTTCAAATGAAATTGCTAGATTGGTGATTTAAAAAATTGATAGTTACTCTAGATATTGCTGCAAAAATTAGTTTATCATTCTATTGCCCTTTATATTTCCAATAAAACTGAAGAGTGAGGTAGAACAAAATTCCATGAGACACACAGAAGTAAGATAGGTAATAAGCAGCAAATTGATGGGGCTGGTTAGAAACCCACCTAACAATGTTATATACGTACCTAACATATTATAATATATAGTAGGTTATATAAAAACAATAGCTTCTAAATCTGAACCATTACTATAGGAGTCTTACATGAGCGATGGCCCGTGTGTGCATCTCAGCAATGACCCGAAGTCTGTTGAGCCACATTTGTCGATCTTTAGTGTCCAGAGCCCGCAGTTTGTATGCCTCTCCTATTAACAAGGAATCAAAATGTTAACAATTAACACATAAATACAATGTATTTGTACACTTATGCATGTAAGCCTATCAATTTTCAACAAGATAACTGACCTGGAATAAAACTTAATTAAACATAACAATTAATAACTTTTGTAAATTCTGTACAAATTCATCTTGGTAGGAGAATATGCTTCAATTGCATTCTCACAAGTATACAATGGGTAAAAAATACTTTGTGTTTCTATTGTGGACATAATTTTCTGATATAAAATGTATGGTCAACAAATAAAAAGCCTTGACACATTATCGGTTACCGTATACAGTATCATGGGGATAATTAAAATTGAATACAGGTTACATGAAATTTAATATATATGAATTCTAGAAGCAATTCTTCTTTTGACTGGGGCAAGAAAAAAATTCTTATGATCTTAAAAAATTATATGATTAACAAATCTTTCTTTGATATTAAACTTGCTTCTGTTTTCCCCCCCCTTCCCCCCCCCCTAATAATCAGTAGTACCAGTACCACTGCCAGTGCTATCAACTGAATGACTGTCAATGTATGCTCAAATCACTTTTTATAAGTTTGTAATCATTATTGAAGAACAAAAACAATGTTAAAGACTTGAGTACCTATACTGGAAATTAAGTACTTTATTCTTCTCACTTCAATTTTCCCTCTGAAAACGCATACCGTATGTAGCACATTGACTTACCACTGGCAGGAGAAACAGTGAAGGTTTGACAGTCTTCATCACTGGGAGAGATGACTGCACCTGCTAGTTGAATACTTCCTCTTGCTCTAGAGGGCAGATCATGTTCACTCTGCACACACATAGGAATGTATTTTAGTTTAGTATAGATAACAAGAGGTAAACAGAATTTAACCCCATTTTTTCAACATTTAGTATATTTAATGTGAACATTTTTCAAAAATACTTTGACTTTTGAGTCAGCTTTTTCTTCAATTTAGAATTGTAAGGCTCAATCTTAGAGTTTCCGAAACAATTAAATGTTGGATATTTTGACCAATGGTAATTAGTCTGCCCTAAATATCAGGCTTGCATGGAGCTTCAATTACCCAACTGGAGTTACTCCAAATGAGGTTTGCATTTACCCACTTACCCTTACCCACTTAAAAGCCAGATTTTTGATAACCCAGAAATAAATAAGAATTTAACAAACTATGGATACAGTAGATGATAATACTCTAACTATACTTAATCACTTTATTCTTTGTCAGTGCTATAGAAAGAAGCTACTACCCTATTGTCTTATTTATTGTTATTTTTTTGAACAAATATCAATGCATAGGAATTTGAACAAGCTGAAAGTAGAGATTTAGCATAGCCATAGAGTGAGCTAATTTAAATCATTACCTATCTTCCTCCATTTTTTTGAAATATCAATTTAAACCTGGGATTGTAGAAAAAAAGTTGTGCATGCTAAAAGTCTGAAATTATAGATGTATATTAAAGATAGGTACTATTTTGTTTTGGATTCTAAAACTACAGAAAAACACTACAACACTAACTACACTAACTGTACTAAAACTACAGAAGTAAACTTGAGTAAAGTAAGTGTTAAAAATCATACCCAGTAAGTTACATAAACGGTAAGTCGTATTTACTACTCAAATAATACTGGATTAATAGTCATGCTGTGCCTACTTAATCCTCATGAGAAAATAGTATTTTCTTTGTTGAATGCGCCTTGTTTGCAGCTTCAAAATGAGTCTAAACACATTGCAATTAAAGTGAAAAATGATCTATACATTTAATTTGTCGATGTAGTCTTTGTAATTTTTTTAAAAAAATCTTCATATCATATAATTTGCAATGGTTTTATGCAAAAACTAGAACATGCACATACATGCGGTTTAATGCATTAGATGCGGCTGATGCGCGGTCATGCGCCTTTTCTGCAGCAGTGCAGCTACAAAATGAGCCTAAAAACAGAAGAACCAAAATTGCATATTTTTGAGCCTAAGATGCTCCCCTTAATGGAAGAACATAGCATGCAAGTTGTAACAAGAAGATGAATTTTAATTTGCTCAAAAATGCTTTTCAAGGGCCATCATGGCTAAAAGTAAATGATGTCTTATATGCCTTATATGAAATCAAGGCTTAAAAACATCTTTGTAGGTACAAGATTTGTAGTGAACTAGTAAAAATGAACATAGGGTAAACGCGGTATATTCCAACATCGTGGGTAATTCCGTCACCTCTTTAGTTTTTCCTTTATATTAAGCTTTGTTTTAGTTCCATGTGTTCGTTGATGGTTGAAATGGTGACGTCATACATTTGCATGTCAAACTACTGCCAAAACACTAGGTCTTGGCCATCTAGCGGGAAAATATTGAGATCCAAAGAGAGACAATGCATGCTACCCAGTGAGATCATCGAAAAATGTGTCAAATTTGACAGTTGACCTTGCTCTACCAAGCGTAATTAAGTAGTGTTCAATATTCATTAGTGTTCTAATTCAAAGCCGTGTTGTATTCCAATACAGCTCACACAGCAAACAGAATTTGAACATGTGGATGACGGCATTACGTATCAGTAGAATTTGAAGCGCGGACGGAATACGCCTCACCACGTGCTGAATATTGCCACACACTGTGACGGAATATAGGGATTTGGTAGGTTTCCATTCTAACGGCTTTTAAATAAATATGGCAACATTTTGTGACGTTTCGTTGTTGCTGACACGTAGTGCAAGGTTTTGAGAGTCACATAAAGCAAACAGAACTTGAGTAACGCATACGGTTAGCCTATTTTTTTTATTGTTTTTCATTTCTCGATGCGTCCTTAATGTGACAGAATATACCGCGTTTACCCTATAGTTCAAAATTCCAGTATTGACTTTGAAATTGTAATTTGCCAGTCAAGAGTTTTCCAATTCCAATTTGGAATATCAGACACAATTTTCTGAAAATGATGAAATTTCAAGTGATTTCAAGAAAATGGTGGTTGAAAAGAAACTAGGTTCTTTTTCTTTTTTAAAATTGAAGATAATGAGAAAAAGACCATAGAAATAGTTATGGGTCAAATTTACATTTTGTCTGATTAAGGTGCCGTGGCTTGCTGGGCAAATGCTGGCTTCTGCCCAATTTTATAGTAGCTACTTAGGTTCTAGGTAAATTGAAAATTCTAATATAGAATATGAAATGACAAATAATTTAAATCAGTGTAATCAAATACTAGAATGAAAAACTCACCACGCTTCTATACTTCTGAACAAGAAAGGTTTACAGCAAAAAAGGTCATGCAATAATGAAAACCATGATTCACTCACCAGATAATAATGGAGTGTGCCAAGTTCAGGGTTTAAAACAAACCATCTCGTCTGCCAGCCTTTGACAACATTTGTAAATTTGATTAGCTGCCCTTGGTAAGGCTGTCTCAATTTGTCATCCATTTTATTTAAACCTACAGATAATTACTAATGCAAAAAAATGATAACTAGACAATGTTTACTTCATTCTGAGTAAGAGCTCCCATAGGACCCATGTATAAACCAAGGCACTCGCAGTCGAAAGGCGGAACGTTTATATGCGGACGTGGACTGTTTGAAATTTCAACAGCTGTTTACATAAACAAAGTAAATTGCGTTCCAGCTTCGCAGTTCAACTTCTAAAAATTCGTACATAGAAATATTACAGTAGATCAATAATTATTTCATACTTTTCAATCTTATCTGAACGAATTTTTTATAACAAATATGTAAAAATTGTTCGGTGATCATCAGCGTATACGAATTTGTAGCGCCAAGACCACACTTTAAATATTTGATAATTTAGAAGGTGTCATCTTACAGTAAACATTTTCTATCAGTGGCGAGGGGGTAAATAAAAATGCAGTCGCACATTCTTCCCACTTCATTGCCAATAAAATGTTAGATAAGAGTTTGCTACAAATTTTACATAATCGATTAATTTCATGATATAAATACAGGTTGATTTTGGATTGGAAACAACACAGAAGTTTGAAGTCTCATACAGAGCATGAAAGTTTTAAAATAATAAAATTTATAACAAAGTTTGCCCATACCTTGAATTCCTACAAATTAGTCTACTTTTTAGGCTCTACCTGATTTTCGTCAACAGCCTCCAACATTTTCTTCTTAATCTCTGTGATTTTTGCGGATTCTTGGAGGGACCAGCCCTGGTCAATTGGTCTCCAGAATCCCGGAGACGGATACCTTTGTAAAATTTTCTCAATGACTTTTGGGTAGACGGCGAAAACTGAAAAAGACTTGCCAAGGTCATCCACAAGGCGTCGGTATCCGGACACAAGATGCCGGTGCTCTTCCACAGACTTGGCTCCTTGTAGTAATTTCTGATTTTCGGAAAATGCAAAAAGTAAAGCTTGAAAATTTCCTGAAGTAGTAAACGCTAAAATGTACTAAGTAATTTCGAATTGAATAAAAGAAAATCTATATATCAACTAATATCTTGGGGCAATAAGTTACATTTGCATTACGTAGGCAATTAATGCAGACGTATTAATAAAATCCGTGTTGTAAAATGCCTCATGCTTGTATAGTATTATGTTCAAAGGGTTTCAAAATAATCGGGAATTAAAAATAGGTAAATGCTGAAATTGAGAATCAGGATTTTGAGAAGGCAATAAGAAGTAAGAGCAAATACCTATCACAACATTAACCCTTGTCAGTCTGCACAAATTTTCAACATAATTATCGTACCGAGTAAAGTTGCAGTTGGCAGTTCGACCAGTATTGAATACTAATCCCATGAATAAATACTTTAAATTCCGAATAATAACGGGGAGGGCAGCCCAGTGATCAAAGTTCAGAGTGCCAAGATTGGAGCAGAGAGTTGCGGGTTCGAACCCAGCTCTGTGCGCCAGTTTCTGGTCAAAATCGGCAAGAATGCCGGGCAGTTAAGCAAAGAAAATTTGAAGCACTGAGTTACGACTTACGAGTTCAAGCCCGCAACAAGCTGTGGATGTTCTGCAATGTTAAGAATCGGCGACAGGCCCAACGGTACAATAAACACTGAAACCGCTTTATTATTATTATAAAAATAACCATACCGAAATATGGGTACCCACCATGAGTCGGAGCTCAATGCCCAGGTTCTTGAGGAACGTGGCCTGTGAGACGGGGCCAACAGACATGGCGGTCTCCGGTAGCGCCTTCTTCAGCAGCGAGAAGTCCACGTCTGCGGTGAGGTCTGCGGTACCAGGCGCCCACAGCGGGTGCTGCTGCCGGTGGGCTCGGAAGGCCTGAGGAGGTAGTGGGTTTAGGGTGTGTGGGAGTACGTACCCCACAGCTCTAAGCACCCCACAGCTCTAAGCACCTCACAGCTCTAAGCACCTCACAGCTCTAAGCACCTAACAGCACCACCCACCCCACAGCACCACGTACCCCACAGCACCACGCACCCCACAGCACCACGCACCCCACAGCACCACGCACCCCACAGCACCACGCACTCCACAGCACCACGCACCCCACAGCACCACGCACCCTGAAAGTGTCCCCCCGGGTGCCTGTATGCCCATAGTCGACCACCAAAAGGGCGCCGCCCTTCGCAGTGATGCGCTCAGCTACAGCCTTGACTACCAGCGCCGCGTCAGGGCAGACCTCCGCCGTGTCGCGGCCGTCCAAGTCCTTAGAGGGAATAAGATTACGTCGCATAACGTAACACATTCGTAAGAGGACATAACATAATCATTATGTCATGTAATGATATAAGGGAAATAATAATGCATGTTATGAAATATTAAATAATAGGTATGCATGTTATATCAGCATTATGATTATGTTAAGACATAAGGACATAACATAATCATAAGGGAACGCCACATACCGGTAACGTAACACAATCGTTTTGACTTGTGCCGGGTGAAGCACGGAGTAATATATTATATTTTAAGCAGGAAATAACCTCTAAATAAAATCCCATTAGGCTGATATAACTAATATTATATTTATATTTTAAGTAATTAAAGAAAGTAAAGAGATCAAAGTCATTTTATAAAATCACTTTAACTCAGAACTTGAAATAGTGAAAAGAGGCAGAATGGAACTGAATTCAGAATGAATATTTCCCAGAAATTTAGCATATTACCTGCGTTTTTGTTGCATTAAAATGATAACACAATCCGCTTATTTAGATTCATGTACGAAAATTCGAATACAAAATCACGGACAGCACAACGCACCTGGGCGTAGAGCTTAGACGCCGGCGTGGCAGCTCTGGAGAGTATGTAGCGGAGCGGTAACTCTGCTACCGATGAGTTAACATCGTCTTCATTAACATTAATACCCTTAACTGAATCATCATTATTTTCATTATAGTCAACAGACTTCTTATCTTCGTTATTCACCTTCATACTTTCAACTGATTCATTATTTTCGTTTTTAATCTTCGAACCAGTAAGTGATCCTTGACTGTCTTTTAAATTATTGTCGAGAACGTCTGCCGATGATTCAGAAATATCACTTTGCACGTCGGAAGATGATTCAACAATATCATTCCCCACGTCGTTTGATGATTCAACACTATCATTCCCCACGTCGTTTGATGATTCAACACTATCATTCCCCACGTCGTTTGATGATTCAACACTATCATCCCCCACGTCGTGTGATGATTCCCCAGCTTTCCCATATCCACCATAGCCCACATCCCCGTTGATATCAATTAGCACTTCCCGCCATTCCCCATCGTCAGTCTTGACGAGTTTGTGGATGGGAAGAACGTCGAAAAATTCATGTGCCAAAAACATTGAAAAACCGGACGGTACGGAGTCCAGAGTTTCGTGCCAGAAAACCGCGGAACCGGACGGGGTGTAGCTGGGGAAGGGGGACGGAGGGGAGTAGACTGGAGGTTCTTCCCCGATACTTGGGAACTCTTCGGAGGACGGATTGTTATCTGGATATAAATTTTTGTGTTAGATATCAGTTATGAGCTTTTCTGGTTTAGCGGATGCATTTGAATACGAAGTCTCAGGTACAATTAGAAGCTTTCATGTAATGAATGATATATACATAATAATTTAAGTAATATAGACCCCCCCAAAAAAAGGGGAAACTAAAAATGTGTAGAACTAAAAAACTTAAAAACTCTAAAAACCTTGACAGTCGAAAAGCATAAACTAAAAAAGTAGAAATTGAAAAATGCCCCAGTTAAAAATGTAGAAACTTTAAAAAAATCTAAATTCGAAAACATAGCCCCCACCCAAAAAATAACCTAAAAACTATTAAAAATTAGACACTAAAAAAGTCATACATATAAAATATCGAAAAAAACCTAGAAATAACAATCACAAAAACGAAAAATGGAGAAACTTAAGAAAATAGTAATAACTAAAGAACTTCGAAACCTGAAAAACACAGTAACTAATAAAATAAAATTTTAAAATCACAGAAACAAAACCAACGTATAAAAAAAACGTAAAAAAGTTAGATGTGACCGTACTCATACACACCCTGAGGCTGGGGGCAGAGCGCGCGCTGCTGTAGGAGGCGGTAGTGGGGGGAGACCTCGACGAGGTGAACCTCTAGTGCCGTGCCTGACACGCCTAGACGCCCTAAACTCTGAGACAAGAATAATAAATATTCTATTACAATATATATTTTAAAAACTAGCAATTTTGGCTCTGCGATTAATTAAGACGGATTGCACGTGGTCATAAGACATAGTGAAAACCAGCTGCAGACAAGCAGTTCTATGACCTATAATTTAAAATTGATATGAAATATTTTGAGATAATTTTATTTTGAAGCGAATATGGGAATTAAAGTGTTTCGTAGGATATAAAAAAAAAAATATCTGCCAGCAAATGTTATAATTGTCATTCCGCAGTATCATTAATTATTATAATCATACGGAAGAGATAATTATCATACCACAGTATCATTAAAGACGTTGCCAGAAACTCGAAAAAGAACCCGAAAGCCTTCTTCTTGTATGCTAGTTCGAAGTGTAAGACAAAGAACGGTTTTGCTGATTTGAATGTAAATCAACGGAAGATATCTTCTGACGAGGGCAAGGCCAATGTTCTAAATCAGTTCTTTAGCAGCGTCTTCACAGATGAGGACTTGCACAGTATTCCAGCTATTGAGGAGCGACCAGTAGGCTCAAAGTTAACTAGTTTTGAGATACATGAAGAGGAGGTTCTCAAGCGCCTGGTCTCCCTGAATCCCAACAAGTCATCTGGATCAGACGGTTTCCATCCCTAGATTACTCAACGAATTAGCAACCGTCCTGGCCGGCCCTTTAACAGTATTCTTTCGAAAAGCCTTAAACGAAGGGACTTTGCCGGCCGACTGGAAAGAAGCCCAAGTGACACCCCTGTTCAAAAAAGGTGACAGAAGTAACCCCGGTAACTACCGTCCTGTAAGTCTCACAAGTGTTGTGTGTAAGGTGATGGAATCGGTTGAGAGGGATAGGATTATCGATCACTTGACTGTTCACCATCTTCTATCAGACTGTCGGCATGGCTTTATTGCTGGCAGATCATGCACCACTAATCTCCTGTCTACCTTGAATAATTGGACTCGTCTGTTGGACGAAAGGGAGCCCGTGGATGCACTGTACCTCGATTTTGCCAAGGCAATTGATAGTGTTCCGCATGAGCGACTGTTGCGTAAAGTTAATTCTTTGGGAATAGAGGGAAATGTACTCCAATGGATCAGGAATTTCCTAGTAGGCAGAAGACAACGTGTCAGCATTAACGGAACATTATGAAGAAAGATTGAATCGACGTTATCGTCGATTGCGTGGTGACCTCATTGAAGTATACAAGTATGCTCATGGTTTGTACAAGGTCCCAGAAGAATTACTAGAATTTGAAACTAGAACCAACACCAGGGGCCACAGCTATAAATTAAAAAAACTGCGGTGCAACTTCTCCACGCGACAACATTTCTTCTCGCTTCGAGTCACTGACATGTGGAACAGCCTCCCTGAAGATATTGTTGACGCTCCGAGTATGAACGTTTTCAAGAACAGACTTGACAAGGCCATGCATGAGCATATGTTTAGTCTTAAAATGCCTCGTACCCTACGGAACAACTGATATCTAGAAGCGATTTTAAATCTACCGTCCGTTGAAAAGATCTGATCAAAAGGCTAGTCTAGTCAAGAAAAGTACAAGAATCGGCGACAGGCCTATCCAGGCCTATTCTTCAATGCCGAAGTTACTATACTATACCATTATTATAATCATACGGAAGTCATAATAATCACACCCCAGTATCATTATTGTAATCATACGGAAGTCATAATTATCACACCAGAATATCATCATTGTAATGATAACAAACTTATCACTCGCTCTCAAGACGTCTTGCATGCATAATCACTATAGTAATACGGAAGAGATAATTATCACACCACAGTATCATTAATCACTATAATCATACAGAAGTGATAATTATCACACCACATTATCATTAATTATTATAATCAAATGGAAGAGATAATTATCACACCACAATATAATTAAGCACTATAATCATCCAGAAATGATAACTATCACACCAAATCATCATTTATCACAACAATACCCAAGTCCCCCCTGACCCTCAAGACGTCCAGCATGAGCGTGCCTCTGCCAGGCCCGAGCTCGACGAGCAGCAGCGGCGCCGTCCGCCCCATCCTGTGCCACTCGCTGTACACCCACACCCCCAGCAGCTGGGGCGCGGTATGTCATTAATTAATTAATTATTAATTAATTAAAAGTACATTTACTAATTATTTTCGCTGTATACCCATACACCCAGCAGCTCACGCGCGTTATATCAAATATTAACTCGATATTACGATATATATAACATATATATTAAATATTAGGTTGAAGGTTGACATTATAGAGTGTGTTGATATTATATAAACAGTGTGTTGGTTCTACGGCCTTCCAAGCTTACAAAATAACGAAGGGTTCTGATTGTTTTGAGTGGCTTTGAAAATAAAGCGAGACGATGGAAGCAGAATGATGAGGGATATACGTATAATCTTTGAACTTAAATTAAAAAACGACAAAAAGCAATTGAAACGAAAAATTGAACACTATTAGCCCCTCTTTCTGTAATTCCAAGGCACAATTCATTGCTTCAGTCCACTAGGTACGAATGGAAATGATAAAAATATCCATAGGCAAAAGGTTGACCCATTCGAAAAAGAGGGACCCAGTTGAAAATATCGAAAAAAGGACCCAGTTGAATACCATATCGAAAGCAAAGAACCCATTTGTCTACAAATGTTAACTCTGATTAACAGGCCTTAATGTACGAATAGCATAGCCGACGGTTAATGCATCGTAAAAGAAATAGTTAAAGATAAAAAAAAGACCTCGCCAAACATTTGCGATATCTCAGGGGACGTGATGAAGTCCCCAGCCTGACCCATCCTGTCCCGCGTCATGTAGTAGCCGCCTTTAGGGTGGGTCAACATGGCGCGCATGTACTGGTGGATGGTGATGGGTCCTGTTACATCATACATCATATGTATAATTTTTTAGTATGAATTATGAATTATATAGCACAATTAGTATAATATATAGTATAGTATATAGTAGTATACTATATATAGTATACTAGTATATATAGTATGAATTAGTGTATAGTATAGTATGCACAATTATATAGTACATAGTATATAAGCAACATTATACGTGATATGAACAATTATTATATACAAAATTATATATTGTGATGGATCCTGATATATTATAAATGATATGCACAGTGATATATTGTGATAATAGATAATGTGAAACTGATACGTGGCTTCAGTAGGCTATCAATAACTACACGTACCGTACCTGTCATGCGTATCTGGTCCTTTAGTTGCTTCAGTACCGTACCCGTCATGCGTATCTGGCCCTTTAGCTGCTTCAGTACCGTACCTGTCATGCGTATCTGGTCCCTGAGCTGCTTCAGTACCGTACCTGTCATGCGTATCTGGTCCCTGAGCTGCTTCAGTACCGTACCTGTCATGCGTATCTGGTCCTTTAGCTGCTTCAGTAACGGAGTTTCTTCACTGACTTCGCTGCTGAAACTCCGTTTCGTGAAGCCAGTGTTTCCAGCAATGGTGCTCAGATATCGATAATGGTTATGCATAATACACCGCCCATTATTATTTAAAATATTGAGCAATATTCTATTGTTTTTGAACATTTTCTGTGTAGAGCGCAAGGTGTCATTTGAATAACTCGTGTAGTTACAATCACGGTTGTAATTTTCTGTATTACTCCCATAGATGCTTGTCCTGTTATTGCGAGTAACTGGACCAGTGCAGAGCCATTTACGATTCTTGTGGTTGACTCCAGGGACATCAACTGCAATGGAAATATCGACAATTCATCAATTTAATATTAATTACGAGTTTAGGTTTAGAATAGAATAAAAGTGTCGGCACTGAAGAAATAGGCCCATGCCTAACATGCAGAGAATCACATAACTATTGACCTCGTTTGAACATAATAGTTGAATCGAGATTAAAATACCTAATTTCCACGTAAGTAATATTAATTTTAAGTTGATGGTATACAATTTCTCCACCTTCATTGTGTTTTTAAACAATCTGGATTAAAAAATATAAATCAGTACTCACTGCAGTGAGTGACAGATCGCATTTTCTCGTCGACGAAAACGTGGTCACGGACGGACGGACGGCCATGACGAGCACAATAGCGCTTTTTCCATAAATGAGAAAACGCGCTAAAAATTATATGTGGAAGAAAAAACATGCAAAGTATATCATTTACCTGCCGGAAGTCGAGCAGCAGAAGCGACCAGACCTCGACATCGCAGCGCGCGGCCGTACATACTAGAACTTGGAACCATCACCACGTCCTTAGTTTCTACGACGGGATAGTAGGTTCTAACGTCCGGAAAGCTTATATAAGAACCTAATCGCTGATCATGCGCTGTCTTAAAGACTTAAATGTTTGACGCGTTTTTTCCAATTGATTTTTTACAGTTATTCAATGTATCATAGCTATCACTAAAGAAGAGAAATACAATACATCCTCGACTTTGCGATTTCGTTTTCCATGTACTACTAAGTCGAGTAGCCAACTTTTGGTGCTTCAGTTCGTTCGAGTAACTTATACTAAGTTACTCGAGAACTTACTTGGAGTTGCTTACACTAAAAGTAACTAGGAAGCTCATCCCAAAAATAATTGGAAGTTGGTAACCGTAAAAATAAATAAAATTTATTGTACGAAAACGATAGGCGAGCTACGAGGAATGAACTTTATACATTTACGTTCGAACTCAAAGGAGTTATAAAAAAGAATAAATTAAAAAAAGACCCCATCCATTATTTTTTAACCGATTTTGAAGATATTCGCTAATGTATCTGAAAGCCAAGGATAGCTACCTTGCCTAGGGTGCCTAAATATTTCATATGCGAGTTTCATTGAAAACCCAAGCATGCTTTTCAATAACAATCTTATTTGTTTTTTCAATGAGTCGAACAAAACTTTTTTCAGATTTAAAACTCTATCCACAATACTACTTTGTACTACTGCCCCTTTGTTTGCCCGGATTTGTACTACTGTAATTTCTAAAGTTCAATTTCAAGTGTTGCAAATCCTTCACATGCTTGATGATGAAAATTGTATATTCGAAACGTCGCATTCCATTAAATGTCATTTGGAAACCTGCTTTTTGATCTCCCAGCGCCAGCAAGAAATTTTGGAAATTTTGTTCGACTCGTTGAAAATACAAAAAGGAAGATTATTAATTAAAAACATACTCTGATCTTCAATAAACTTGCATAAAAGAAAAGTTTCTGCCGCATTACACCAAATATTTGATAATGCACTTCGAAGTTTGGCACTACATTTAGGTGCTGGGAATATATCTATTTGATATACGTTAGGCCTGATATAATTATTATTATTAATATATAATAAAGACAATATTTTAATATATTTAATAAATGTAAAAATAAATATAATAATATTATATATTCAATAAACATAATTTTAATATAATACATTCGATAAATATAATATAAATATTTATAAATAATATTGATGTGTGGACTGCGGTACCCGAGGGGTCGTCACGCCCCTTGGTGCTGGCGCCAAAAAACAATTTGAAAATTGCTAATTCAAATTATAAATACTGCGAGTGAATGGAGGAAGGAATACGTGGAATACAGTAATAGCAGAATAAATAACAAAATTAGCGGGAATTCATTAAAGGAAAAGGTCGAATTGTCTTTTTATAAGATCATATCTAACAAATTGAAGGTTATAGTCATAACATTTTAAGCTACAAAAATAAAAAAAAAATGGTTACGCTACAAAAATAATTGCGCCAACACCCCGCTCGGGAGATATAATTAAAAAATAATAAATTTTTCTTGATAAAATCATAAGCAATAAATTCATTGGCAATTCAGTCATACTAGGTCAAACAAAGCGCCTGATCGACATAAATTATATTTACAAGAAATAGCTTCTTTAACATAACCGATACCATCGGATTCATACATTTAAACCCGAAATAACATCCGAGCAGAGAAGGTAGACTTTCCGTTCAACACCACTGGAAAATTTATCCATCCACTGCACGGGTTAACGAATGATTAATATTTCAATCTAATACGCAAAGTGAAAAAAGTCACAAAGTTTACTTTTGAGAATAGTAATGCTTGGAAGAATTTCAAACTAAGTGCACCTCTGGTAATAGTCCTGAGTCTAGGAAAGCAATGCTGCTCCAGCTGCAGCAAATGATCGAGATATATAAAAATCTTCGAAATATCAAGCAAAATTCAATTTACCCCAAAACAGCCGCAAGCGCAAAGCAAAACACGTCAAGTTCTTTCACATAATGTATATTCTAATTTGAGATAATGAATGGCACAGTAAATTCTCATTATTTGCTTTCAACAAACGAAAGAGGATCGCTCATCGTGATTGCTTAGCGAACTTGAATTGCCTTGTGTAACTAATTTGATATAAATCACTAGGAAATGAAAGTCCTCTGACATATTTTAAAAGAAGGATGCCTGTGAATTATTTAACAAGTCTCAAGCACAGTAATTTAAACAATTTAGCCTCGGGTATCCCTTCATATTTCACTTAACACAACAATTCAGTATATTTAGCCACTGGTTTTAAGCCGATTTTATCACAAACCCATTAATTTAGTTTATTTAGGCTGGGTTTTCTGCCGATTTCATCCTGAATCCATTAATTTAGTCTATTCAGCTACGGGTTTTCCGCCGACTTCATATTGCACCCTTCAATTTATTTTATTTAGGCTGGGTTTCTTCGTCCACTTCAGCTTTCTCCAAAGCTTTCCTGAACTGCGGGAACTGTTCCCACGGCGCCGAGAGGTCAAACTTGCGGAACTCCTGCGCCAGCTCCACAGGCTCCATCACCACACGCTTCTCCTCGTCGTCGTAGCGGCACTGTTAACAAATTATATTGTTATATAATTTATATTGTTATTATATTGCACTGTTAACAAATTATATTGTAGGGAAATTCTTTTACAAGAAATGGGTATCTTTTAAATAAATAATATCAGTCAAAGGACAGGAATCTATTCCGCTTGTTTCAAGACTTGAATTTTGAAAATTTATGAGACAAAACAGCGTTATTTTCTGTCAATGAATTACAGTGTAGGGAAATTCCATTACAAAAACAATCTAAGTCGAAGGAAAGCAATGGATTACATGTTTTAAGGTCGTCAATTTTATAAATCAACTTAAAAATAATGCTAAATTTTGTCAACAAATAACACTGCAGAAAAATTTATTTATGAAAACGAACTCAGTTCAGGGACAGACACCTGTTTTACTATAAGACGTCAATTTAATAATAAAACTCTTCTCAGTTTATGAACAGAGGTTTCTTCCTTGCGATTTTAAGGCGTCAATATTAAAAATTACAAGGCGAAACAAGGTTACCGAACTTTCTTCCAACAAATTGCATTACAGGAAAATTTCCATTTACAAAAACGACTTCAATCTAAGGACGGAATTTACTTTTTCCTTTATTTCAGAATGTCAAGTCCAAGAGACAACGAGACAGAACAACGTTATTTTCCGTGAACTATCACCTTCTTTACAAATATTTCGTTAGCCATGGACTAGCTCAGCACATGCCAGCACTGCAGAAATTCATGCTATTCATGAAATTCTACTTAATGACGTCTCAATTAACCCATTGTATTTCAGCGGTGTTTTCACTCTTCACTCAACACTCGGTCTACCAATCACAGAAATATAGTGTGACTAGCATGGCAGTCATTCGCGACTGCTAAACTAGTGTGACTAGCATGGCAGTCATTCGCGACTGCTAATATAGTGTGACTAGCATTGCAGTCATTCGTGATTGCTAAATTAATGTGACTAGCATGGCAGTCATTGTGACTGCTATACTAGTATGACTATCAAGGCAGTCATTCGCGACTGCTAATATAGTGTGACTAGCATGGCAGTCATTCGTGATTGCTAAATTAGTGTGACTAGCATGGCAGTAATTACCGACTGCTATACTAGTGTGACTAGCAAGGCAGTCATTGTGACTGCTATACTAGTGTTACTAGCATGGCAGTCATTCCCGACTGCTATACTAGTGTGACTGGCATAGCAACCATTGTCACTGCCATACTAGTGTGACTAGCATGGCAGTCATTGTGACTGCCGTGGGCTTAGATTGCACAGGAATCGGAATTTCGTAAAATCTGAGACTAAATTGGTAAAATAGGAAAAAATGTATCACAGCACTAAATAAAGACTATAAAGATTGATTGTGATATTTGTTGACCAATCAGTCATGTGAAGATTACACTAAATTTTGCAATAGTGATCATTCGATGCAGCAATTATTTGATTTATCCTGAGCTCAGAAGTCGCTAGGATCAAACTACCTATGTCAGGATGGAAAAATCTGAGTTTGCCTAGTAAATATGTAAAAGATTTTTCTACTCAAATTATGACGCTGAATATTTTAAAAGTCTTCTAAAAGACAGCCCTTGCATAGAAAGTGATACGAGTAACCTAAACCATATGAAATTCACTATTTTCTCAATAGAAGTAATTTGTCTTAAATAATCAAATGTAATAAATCTCAGGTACTCGCCACAGACCTCAACATAACCAGTGAGCGGGAAGTCCTTCCTGAAAGGATGTCCTTCAAACCCGTAGTCTGTGAGGATCCTGCGGAGGTCGGGGTGGTTCGAGAAGTAAACACCGAACATGTCCCACACCTCCCGCTCATACCAGTTGGCGCCTTGGAATACCTGAGTGGTCGCAAGGAAATCAATTATATATATCAAGGAATGTTGAAGCTATTTGAAATTGTAATTTATCTAGAGTGTGAAAGTGTCACTTGTAATGTAGATATCAATGTATCATTTGCAGGCAGATGCTGCGGCTGAGCCTACAAGGGTAAGTTTTATTACACAAGATCTTAGGGCGTAGCAGAAAGAGCGCAACTGCAAGAAATTCATGCACATGAAAGTCAACTGCAAGAAAGTCACACACATGAAAGTCAACTGCAAGAAAGTCACGTACATCATGGAAGTTAACTGCAAGAAAGTCACACACATGAAAGTCAACTGCAAGAAAGTCACGTACATCATGGAAGTTAACTGCAAGAAAGTCACACACATGAATGTCAACTGCAAGAAACTCACGCACATGAAAGTCAACTGCAAGAAATTCATGCACATGAAAGTAACTGCAAGAAATTCATGCACATGAAAGTAACTGCCAGCAAGTCACGCACATGAAAGTTAACTGCAGAAAAGTCAGTGAGACGGACATGCTGATAACTCACCTCGCAGGCAGAGTCCAGGGGCGTGAGCTCGTCGGTGTAGGTCTTGACTCTGATTCTTGTATTGTAGCGCACAGACAACAGATTGTAGATCACCTGACAAAGAAAAAGACTGTTAAGGGGGTAATATCAATTAAAGTTGTTCATAAAGTTTACACACACTATAATTTGCCTAGATTGAGTTTACCTCTATATTATCTCAAGGCTTTTGACTTCTGTTATAACTTCGCCAAGAGAAAAATCAAATTCACTGAAAAGTTTAAAAAATTAGCACTATTTATGTATATACAATAAACTTAAAATCTGAACTCTAACGGGTGTCAAACAATACCAAGTTATTCAATCATTACCCCTTAGTTTTCTGGTACTTAAAAATTTTCAATATACTTATCAAATCCAAAAACCTAGTCTCAAAAGTTACTGGTCAGGCACAAAGGATATCACTATTAACTGATCCTTGTTATTAAGAAATTAACAGGATCATCACGAGTAACTAACCTCAAATTCGTATATAATTGCTGGTGTTGCTGCTCTGACACAAAAAATTAGATTTCAATATTGACATTATCCTCAAGGTGTCGTATCAATATTCACATGATCCTCATGAAGAACTAACCTCAAACCTGCGCTTGCAGGTGGTGTTGTTCACACACAGAGGCTTATATATCACTATTATCATGATGTAATTATTATTATTAAAGATCCTCATGTGGAACTATCCTCATATCTGTACTTGCAGGTGGGGCAGCTTCTACAAAAAGGGTTATATATCGCTACTATTAACATGAGATATATATTGCCATTAAAATGATCCTTGTTAAGAACTAACCTCAAACCTGTACTCCCTGGTAGGCACGTCCATGCCACACAGGTCAGTAATGCACGTGTACTGAGCATTGATGTGGTCACGCAGGAACGTGAGCACAGGTATCACGCCTTCAGGTGCAATTAAAATCTCCAGCTCATTGCCAGCAGAGACTTGAACCTGATAAAATTGGGAAATAAACTTGAGATGGATTGAGCAGATGATTGTAAATATAATTTACATTTACAAGACTGGTTCTTTTCTTTGTTTTCATCAAGATTATCATGAAAAGCTAACTAACAGATGGAATAAACATAATTTTGTTTGTGGTGATTGTGAAGCATGATTTTCAACAATATTTATCCTTATATGATTGAAATATCTTTTTAAATTTCTATGCAAACAGAATGAAAATAGTGTTGTAACAATTCAACGATTCAGAGATTGAAAATTTTAGAAATTGAAGCATTTGTTAACGGGCACTTTGCAAAAAATTTAAAGAGCATGAAAACTACATTTTGTCACCTGTTGAACATATTTTGGAAGGCACTCAGCCACATACTGGCCATACTCAGAAACTGTAGTTCGCTCTACAGCATTCACAGGCCGAATGGTAGCTGCACAAGATATAAAGAAGTTTAGATACACATACATCAAAGTGTAGAATATACTAAATGATTCTAATGAAAATTCATTTTCACAAAACAATCCATAGGAGCAAACTAAAAAGTTTTTTAGAATTTTGACAGACTGGGCAGAAAGATTTGAATTAGTGATGTCTAGCCAATGGAAGGTGAATCAGGTGTTGACAGATATAACAGTGATTTTGACACTATAATACCTAATACAAAACTCAAATGAACCTACCAGGTACCTTTACTGATGTGAAACTCTTTAAAAAGTGGGGGACTAGTGGAATGTGTGTTAATTTTGTGGCTATTTGTACAACAACATGACAAATGGAGGGCAATGTGTCATCATGGCACATGGTATCATTGATGATAGAAAGAAGATTATTGCAAACTATGCAGTTAGACTAGTTAACAAGCTAAGGCTCTTAGATTATCATACAACAGTTTTCATTTATAAATATAAAATAATGCAACAATACATTAAGGAAATGGCATTGATCATACAGAATGGTTCAGCTAACTTACTTGAAGTTAGTTCCCAATTTCCCATCATATCATTACCACATTCTGGAGAGAGAAATTGTAGCTATTTTTTGTTTTGAGTGACTTATATAGACAAATAATAATATATTTAACAAATATACATGATATAAATATACTTTAAAGTTTTTCAATGTTAACCACATTAAAATCAATGTGGAAACATACATTTTTAATATTTTTTGTGCATTTAACAACTTAAATTTTGACTTCACAACATATTTTAATTTTGGGAAAAATTCAAATTTCTTGTTGGTTGAACTATTGTTATTGTAGGCCAATGTCTTTTGTTTACTTAGTACATGGCTTTGCCTTGACTCTTGTGAGGACCCGGGCAGGATGGAATTCTAAGAATGGAAGTTCACATATAAAAAAAGCTTTCCACCCAACTGCCCAAGGCGGAAAGCTTTCCTCAGATACAGTGCTCTGACAGGCAGCCAGGTGTGAGGTGACTGACTATAAATGAAAAGGAGGATCAAAAGTGGAAAAAATGTCTCAATTGATTTGTACCTAGTACCTCTTTGTTATATGTAGAATTGTTTGGACGTCTCTTGTTTGATAGATACCTATTTAAATTGTTTATCAAAACTAAATTGGGACATAATCATTCTGTATCTGATACTTATGTATCAAAGTCTGATTATTATGATGCATTTTTAATAGTTTATTTTATAGTTTTAGATTAGGTAATAAGCTTAGTCATTAGGCTACCTATTTATTGCGACTGTGAGTCTTACGACTTACGATGGAGATCAGTCTGAGACGTTGTTGAAGAAGTTCTGAAGGCTCCAACACCTGCCGCCCGCGGTACCATGGACCGGAAAATCCCTGAAACATGTTTGATGAAAGAGAATAAAATAACTTCTTAAAAATATAACGTAACGTAACGAGGAAGGACAAAAATTTTTGTTTGTACGAGTTTCTAGTTTTTTGCTCTTAAATTGAGATTAGCCTTACTATTTTCTCGAGAGGAGACGAGACCTCGTTGAACTTCATTTCATAGATAAATTAGCAACTGATCATTAAATTCTAATTATATAATCTAACATACCATGGTTTGAAGTATATTTTGTCATAGACACCGCTAATCGACGGGCACAAGCAGCCATCTCGACCCGTTGTCAGATGTTACCGGAGTACTGGTGCAGACTGCAGTGGTGAAGAGATAATAGGTCGCACTTGAAAGTGCACAATGGGAAGTGCTCAAGTGACAATGGACAAATCGATATTTTGTGTTGATGAATGACTCAAAGCTGGGCAACAAGCATGTGGTAGTTTCATTGGGGTTGAGAACTAAGGAAATATCATGTAACTAATTACATGTTCAAGAAACTAGGTATAGGTTACATATTGCGTGTACGACAGCTTGGACTAGCTTGATCCTGTAGTCAATAGATTCAACTGATGTGACTGGAGAACACTTTTAGTTGACTTAAATTAAGAAAGGAACTACTTTATAAATTGTTTATTCTAATACAATGCACAATTGTTTATTCTAATTCATTTGAACGTGCGATTGAGGAATTAAATCATTCATGCCTAAAAATAAAAAAAAATACAGAAAAATGACTTGCCAGTACGACAATTTCCACAAATCTAATGTGTTTGCAAGTTTTAATGCCAGCTCACATACGGTAAAATAACCGCTATACCATGCTAGTGATGCTACTATAGTTGCCAAGATTTATTCACAATAAACGCCAGTTAGCGCTAACGTAAATGTAGTGCGCTCCACGCTAAGTTAGTTAGGCGTAGGAAAGGGGCCAAAATTTAGCGTTCTGCAAGGTCCTACATGAAAACGAAGCGGACGAAAAATAATTCCGACAACGCTAGCAGGACTGTATTGTGAATTAATAGCTTCATTGTTAGGTCATGATTGGTTTCGATTTGGAAAATTAATGCGTGGCAAACCTGCTACAACTTAGCGTTTAGTGCGCCAATTAAAATCGTAACGGACAAAAAAATTTTGATAGCGCTTGCAGGGTGGCCCAGTGGTTAAAGTTCAGAGTACCAAGATTGGCGCAGAGAGGCGCGGGTTCGATCCCAGCTATGTGCGCAAGTTTCTGGTCAGAATCGGCAAGGAGGCCGGGCGGTTAAGCACAGCAGAATTGTAGCAGTGAGTTGCGAGTTCGAGACCGCAAAATGCTGTGAATGTTCTGTGATGTTAAGAATCGGCGACAGGCCTAAGGCCTAATAACACTGAAACTGTTATTATTATTATTATTATTGCAGGAGCGTCATGTCAATAAATGGCATCGTTTTTAATCAGGTTAAGATCCGTTCAGATTTATGGAAATATCGCACTAATTAAAATCGAAGCCGACCAAAAAATTCCATCAAAGCTAGCATGAACCAACTGTCAATAAATGATACAAATAAATAATTCCGATTTGACAAACTTATTCCTAGAAAACCTGCTATGGAAATTACTCGTCCTAAAATATCGATGAGTTTGAAAGACTGATATACGAGAATAAATGGTACGGCGGAGCTTAGTTCGCTTATACGGCCTAGATACGGACGGCTTGAAGTGTTGAAGGCTACTTTCCGGAAGGCAGGAATCATGATGGTCCAGGTTTTTTCCATCGATCGTTCTTGGTGATAAGACGTGTTGTGCCAAAGTTTTGAAAAGTCCAAATCCTGAAAATCAAAGTGCGCAAAAACCAGAACCAATTCAAATCTCTTCTGTTTTTGTTTGAGAACTGATAGAAACTGGTGTGAAAGCAAGAAGCATGGCGGAGTCATCATCTGGAAGACCAGAAAAACTTTTCAGTGAATCCACGACCGATCTAACTGACTTCGATGGCTTCCCTTCAGACTCGCCAGTGATTGGCCGGCCGGCAAGAAGCAAAAAGCCAAGACTTCTAGCCAAACCTACCCACCCGACCGAAACTTCTTCAACCAATAGCTCACAGTCAACAGCACAAGCAGACAAGCCTACCCAAACTACATGCTTACTGATGAGAGAAGACAAAAAATCATTACCCTTCAATTTTTTTGCCCAAACCTTCAAGAACTGGCCAGCGCTGCAGCTCATTGAACCAGACAGCCTGCATTGCAATGCCAAAGGCACCTTAATCACTGGTAAAGTACCTGCTACTAATTTAAACCGATTTACCAATTCAGAGCATACCCATGAGCACAATGGCATAAAATATACTATCCGCATTCCCAAAACCCCACCCCTTTACCAAGGAGAAGTGGTATTTGACCTGACTGATATGGAAGACAAGTCCATACTAAGCTACTCAACAGAAGACCTGATTGCCCAGCTCACATTGCCTTCCAGCCAAAACTCAAATAAAATAATATCCATAAAGAAGCTATAAATGAGACACTCTTTGCAAGACTCCGCCTTGGCACAGCTCCGCTGAACAAGGCCCTCTACCAAATCCGCCAAGCCCCCTCTCCGCTGTGCCCCTCATGCAACACACCAGAAACCTCGCATCATTATCTCATCTCTTGCACGGAGTTTGAAGAAGCCCGTGAGCAACTGCGTTGCCAAGTAAACTCACATGGAGTTCTTACACTCAGCACTGCTTCACTGCTGGGAGGAGACACCTCCAACTGCCCTGCCTGGCCGCACATCTGCAAAGCTGTTGAAGAATTCATCGGCAAAACTCATCGATTCCAGCCCTGAGACTTAATAAATAAGCAGATTACGGCGAGAATCGCCTCTGGTGGAACACGCCGTCAACTAATAGAAGATCAAGATGATGGTCCATTACATCCAGGGCAGTGGTGGTCTTCGGCAGGCGACCTCTACCGTTGATCGTACGTTCGTACCGAGGATCTCCATGCCATCCATATATTATGAGTTTATGACGCCAAACGCGTCGCGGTCGTTTGCAAAGCAGTACAGTGTTTTACAGCACGCACATAATGACGTAATGTTTTCGCCTTGCCGGCCGTAAAAAACGGCCTTTTTGTAAACAAATATGAGCGGATGAGTCATGAGCCACAGATGTCTAGCGCGAATTTAATAGAGCTTTTTAGTTTTGCGTTCATCAAACTTACAAGTTATAAAATTCTTGCTTATGACCTGCGCGAGCATTTCATGGTTTTTATTTTATTGACGATCGGCAAACGGGCCGGGCAGCCAAACTCCAAAGTGCTGATGCTGCCTGATTCATCAACATAAAAGTATTTTCATCTAGTTCCTTCAAATTGAAATGTTTTATTTTTGGAGATTTTCATTTGGGTGGTTTACACTTTACAATTTACATCATACATGGTTGTAACAACAACAGAGTGATGAAGTCAAAGTCAACAATTGAAAAAGATTTAGGAATTAATGTCAACAATGAGTTGAAATTTTCTAAGCAGAAGCTTAACTTAATAAAGCCATAAGCCAATTAACAACTTGTACTGATCAAACTCTTTCAATTTGGATTTAGATTTGAAGCTTGGTGACACTGAAAAGGATCCTCAGATGTCAGGCCCTAGTACCTATTGGCTAGCTTAGTCCTAGCTACAGATTAAATAAGGATTTTTATAGAATATTATAATTAGAGAGAGACGTTTCTTAATTTCTTCTCGTCTCATATCTTTTAAAGTTGGGTGAATCGGAGTGATTACTCCACCAAATTTACGTTACGATCAGGTTCAGGTTCAGGTTCAAGATACCGGTATTCATTACTTATAGTTTTGTCAGGTGGTTGCCGAGTGGCACTTGATAATTGGCACGATGAAAAGGTTCTCTTTTTGGAAGCGTTACGGCAAAGAAAATACAAAGAGAGGGTTGTAATGAAACACTGTTACATTTCATATTAATTAGGTTGTTTTACAATGACCGTACTTCGGAATAGTGGCGTAGTCTTACTCGTCGATGATATTATTCCAAGCTCGTTGCCGTATTGCGGTTGAAGATGACTGTGACCGTACCACTTCTTCTTGATGGAAATTGTGACCGTATCGTACTGATGATTTTGGTGTGGAGCTCAAAACTTAAATCTTCTGATGATGTGCGTTATAATCGTTGTACAACTCGGGGCCCTCTTGCACTGTCTCACGGCTGAGTCGCAGCCGTAGTGTTGATGTTGATTTTCTTGACGTGCTCACCGGACTCGTAGCTGCCTCGATAGTCTAGGTTTTTCACGAGTCGCGACTGTCAATGTTCGAAAACGACAAACCGCCGGCCTCACGGCCGCGGCCGTTGCAGACTGTGCTCATGACCGTGACTTTCGTAGAACCAACCCTTTGGCGCGAATTTTAAGGTCCTTATATACGCTAGTGTTGCGCACTGTTAAGCCTAACCCTCGAAGTAACGCCACATTCCTATAATGGAATTTCCCTCGCCAACGTTTGATGCTTCCCACGGTCTCGCAACAACTGCGCCGCATTCTTAGCATTCTTAACATCTATGCATAATACATGTTCAATATTACCTACTGTCAATATTACCTACTTTATTCATATGCTAGCTAGTAGCTACCATGTGTCACAGTCACACATTCATTTTACAAATTAATTTTTTGCATAAGGAGGGGAAAGGAGGAGGAGGAGGAGCCAGATACATGATTCAAGAAATTTGGGCCAGATTTAGAGTGCAGAGATGGTTCATGTAAAGTTTAAGATGAAAGTGATACTTTGTAATAGGTTAATGAAATAATAGAAACAGGGAATGATAGAAGAGGGAGAATACTTTCAATATAATTATGTGTTTTGTTGGTTATTGCTAGGAGCCTAGGTCCCACTGTAGTTTTGGACATTTGTCACAGTCACACAGATATTGTTAGCTCCCCAAATGCTAGATAATACTTTGTTTCTCTTTATATTTTGATGTTATTATTATTACCATTATTCTACTTTTCTACCACGATCCATCATGGCACAATGGCAGTAGTTACCCCAGGGCCCAGCGCCCAGGTGACAGCACTGACAGGCCCACTATCATTGCCATCCATTCATATCCCATAACCCATTCTCTCGTACTGTCGTACATAAGGCCATCACCCTCACCAGTCACTTCTCTCATTCAGTATCACTCAAATATGTAATTTCCAGTCTTTCACTTTCATATGCTTCACAAGTTCACACTCCATCATCAGGTATTCCTTCATTTCTCTTTCACCTCTATTGCACATGAAATGGATATCTACTCTTCTTTAATTCCACCTGTATGTTTGTGCATTCACACTTGAGGCATTTGAGGCCCATATCTCCTCTCAATGCCTCAATTGCAGTCCATCTAAGGGCCCCAAGTGCCAGTTTAGCTATCATATTCTGAATTTCTGTAGTCTGTATAACCTCCCAACTTATCAAGCTTGCCATCATTCCATGCAATAACAGCCTATCCATACATAATCCCAGGAACAGCCACACTTTCCTGTACTTATCTTATTCCAATCACATTTTCTCCCTGTTGCTACACTCTGTCCACAATCCACATCCTCCACTGCTCCATTCACAACTAGCACCTGGCTCTTCTCAGGGCTTGTACGTACATTGAAGTCTTATATTTTTTTTTATACTACTGCAATTCTTCAGTGGCTGTTAGTCATGATTTCAAGAAGAGCTTTGATGATCTAAACAGAGCAGAAAATTTCATCTGTTGCTAAAATAGAATGCTTCAAAGATTTTTTTTTAAATGGCTTCTTGAAAACTTGCTCATTATTTTCTAATATCAAAGTTGAAAATTTCTGTCTTTCATTAAGGCTGAGTTGAGCACAAATTATTCCCTGCTGTCACAATTCATGTCTAATAAAGTCATGGGCACTCTAAGCCTTCAGATCAGCTGCTCCATTCTTGACAAATGCTTGGTGCTTAGTAGCAGTGAAATGCACAGATATAGCAACATCATAATTGGTTATGCAATCAGGCAAACTCTTGTCTGGAGATATTTACTATTTCTCATTCTCAGTCTAGTAATCTCATTATCTTTGAAAAGCAAATGTGTTTTTAGCTATTAAAAGGTCAATATAGTTGATGACAAGATTGCCAAAAAATGCAATGTAAATATGCAAACATAATCATATATATGTTGAATAGAGTATGTGATTATCTAACATAATAAATGAGTAGGTATTTACATTGTTGCAAATACTTTCAATTTTGCCTATATTTTGAAATGTACTTATTTTTTTTTTAAACAGGACCCAAACTCCAAACCTCAGAGGTACAAGATGTCATTATGCTGTACAAAAAATTTTCTAAATCAAGAATTTAGGCACCTTTGTAGAATTTTATGGGTGAATAAGCCTTATTATCAGAGAAAAATGATGCACAGAATGAGCAATTCCTATTTATCCAAAGAAATGAAATTTTGTTACCTGAACCAGTTAAATACTAGCTTACTAGGTAAAACCTTACAGCACGGATTTCATTCTGGGTCTGAACCTCCATATCTGATAGTAAGTGAACTTCAATTGAGAAAAATCAACATTTGATTAAATTTAATATGATGATTGTCAGATTGTAAATAGATTACCATGTTTTTTTGACTTATTACTGCTGAATTTATGCATATAATTTGACAACTTTAGCCTTTTGAGCTTAAGTAGTAGATTGGAATATACTTCACTCTAATTATAGTATGTATGTTTAAGTTTCAAATTTTGTCTTGAAAACATTTTATGTTGTTATGCTGCTTGATTTCTATTGTAGCAAGTAAGGTGTACCTTTTTCTTATTCAATTATTTGAATTCTGCAAGTTTAAGCCCAAGTTGTATTATGAACATTGATGTTATTTACAACAACAATATTTCACTTTTTTCCTCAGTATGGAAGATTGCATATTATCTATTTGGAAGACAACAAAGGAACATTTATATTATCAACATGTGGGTAGTTACTAGGTAACAGTTTGTGAAAAATTTGTTTACTCGTGATGAAATTCTAGAGTTTAATTTCACAAAAATTGAATTTCAAAAATTGTGATTGAGGATTCTAGTGGCTTAGCTCTCAAAAAATTCTCATTCATTTTTGAAGTTCTTTAAAGAGTGAAAGGATTTTCAATAATCGCATGCAACTATAAATTACCTTGAACTGAAATCCTCCTCAATTAAGTCACATCTCTTGGGTATTTTTTGTGTTGAGCAAATTCCTGTCAAGTTGGGAATAATTTTATTTCTCATATCCATTATGGATTTATTATTGATAAAATGTTGTATTTCAGAGCCATGAGCCAAAACCCTACAACTATCCTTTGGTCAACATCCAGGTCAAAGGCTATGACCACTCAGTACTGCAAAGCTACCAGTCTTGGGTTACAAGGATTGCCGAGAGACTGAATTTAGTTGTTTCAAATGCGTAAGTTTGTGTGTGTGCAGTCTATTGGTATTGTGAAGTGCAAATTATGACTGTCTGTGCTTCTGTTAATATTTTAAAGTAAAGTACGAGTTAACTCTTGCAGCACTGCATGTTTGATATTAGTAGATGTTTCAGTGAATTGATCCACGAAATTTTGAGGATAGGGATAGAATAATCTGTATCGTACTCGCTCCCGCCGACACGCGCAGGGGCAGCCCCCAGCAGCAGCAGACTGACCAGGTGCTGCTAAATTGGTATCTGTTAAATGCAAAATCAATTATCATAGTTGTTGATAATCTTGAACCAATAATTGAGATGTGGTTGTAGAGATAAGGTCGCTTTCAAAACTTTGCTCCTTGATTTTTTTTTTACTTGAATAGTTTCAATTTTTTTTATTTCCCCTACTCAGTAATATTGATGTTTATTAACCTCAATAATTGTCTTTGTTGCTCGAAATTAGCTCATTGAATAATGAGAATCAAATAGCAGCATTCAAATCGTTGTAGGACTTTTCTCATTAATGAGAAGCCAAATGCCATGTTAAAATAGTTGTAGGAACTTTTCTTCAGTGAATAATGAAGAGCTAAGAGCATTATTCATATTGTAGGAATTTTTATTATTGAAATAGCCGAAACAGATGTAAGTTTTCACATGCCTTTCATCTCAGCTGGGCCACACCTTGCAAGAAGCTGCAAATTACACGCTTTGAACCCAAAAGCACTAAAGTAGAGGACACTTTCAAACTCAACATTTATGAACGCACAGTCCAGGTGAGGTAAAGAATTTTGAGCATCAGGATGGTACTGCTTTTTTTTCTTCTTAGTGCTCTGAAATTTGATGTTTACTTGTTGGGGGTGCTATTTTTTTTACATACAACTAATTTTATGGTAAAATATTATTACATTATGGGTCGAGATTCCAAACAATGTTAGTGTTTATGTCCCATGTTATACATTACATTAATGATATTCTTAAAAAAACACTCAATTAGTGTATTTTTTCTGCTTATTTCTTATCAGTTACATTTGTGTTTTGAGTTGATATTGCTGTGTTAAGGTGAGCGAGATGCCCAGCCTCGTGCTGCCTGTGCTGCTGGAGGTGCTGCAGGCTGGTCTCCCAGAAGGCGTTGAGCTCTATGTTGATCATCACTCCGAAGAGGCTGAAAAGGTCACTATATATTGTCAAATTTAATTTTTATTTAATTTTGGACATTTAACTATTTTTTAATTCAAGTAGGGGTGAATAATGTGATTACAGTATATATTGTCAAATTTAAATTTATTTATAATTTTGGACATTTTGAGGACCTTTTAATTGAAGTGGGGTATGAATAATTTTGACTTATATACTTACTGCCTACTTAAAGATAGTGGTTAACAATCATTCCTAGGTACAGCACTAATACTGATAATTTTACCGCATAGGCTTTGCAATGAATTCACGACTTAAATCCACATAACAACAGAGCATTCATAGTAACTTGCATGGAACTTTCAATTCAGGAACGTCGCATGAAGTGGTCAAGAATTTCATTCTTAAATTATATTCTTCAAAATAGAGAATCTTCATTTAGAGAATGTGTATTTAAAGGCTGATATTATGAGAATGGTTATTATACATAGTATTTATTTAACGTCTGCCATTTATATAGATCATTAATTATATTTTATTTAGAAAATGGTTTATTTAAAGGCTGATATTTGAAGAATGGTTATAATACATACTAGTTAGTTATTTAACGTCTGCCATTGATATGGATCATTTAACATCTTTTATTTAGGAAATGGTTTATTTAAAGGCTGATATTCGGAGAATGGTTTTAATACGTAGTTCAAATAACCATTGTCTAAATAAGAGATTTTTAATGGCCTATATAAATAGCAGACGTCAACTAACTACTAGTAGTAATTAGTTAACGTCTCCTATTTATATAGGCCATTAAAAATCTTTTATTTAGATAATGGTTATTTGACGACGATTAATTTGCCCACAGATCCGCTACGTTCCCAACAAGGAGCTCCGTGAGCTTCAACAGGAGCTCAAGGACGTTCACAACCCGCCTGTGGCTCCCCGCTTTAGAGGCAAAAAATGATTTGCTAGTGCTGTGCGTAATTAATGATTGGCTAGTGCTGTGCGTATATATTACGTTCAACTTGTGGGAATGTAATACATAGGTAGATATTATTGTTTAGAAGTCATGTATGCGATGTTGAGAAATCATACAAAGTTGTTACTCGTAATATTGCTATTTGACCAATCGTATCCATGCATATTATATTATTTTTTTGTCCAGAAGTAAAATATAATAGGTTTTTTTTCAGCGTCTATTGCAATTTTTTCTCTTGTTTAGAATCATAATTGAATACTTCACCTTCATCTGATAATTTTTTTACTGGCCACTGGGACAATATAGTCTAACTCGTCTCTATTAACTGTACAAAATGTGTGTAATTTGAGATCCGTAATTAAAGAATGTGAATAAATTCTCTAGTATGAATACAATAGAACATAATTGAGTACTAGTTTTAAATTAAAGTCGTAGGAATTTCTACATTTTGGCTGAATTTTAATTCATCGAACCCGGAATAGGTTAGGGAAATTTAAACGATTGGTTACGACCGTAGCGTCTCAGGCTTTACTCGGAGTATTCACGTATATAAGTTTTCGTATTAAATAGGTTACTACAATAATCGTACAGAGAGAGGATTGCAATGAAACACTGGTACGTTTTATATTAACTTGGAAAATTCAAGTCACATACTACGTAAACGAAAATCTCTAGCACAGGAAAAAGAAAATCCAAACACAATCAAAGTTGAAAGTCACTCAAACTTCTAAATTACCAGAAACGTCGTTGATTCGTTGCAGTTCCGTTGAGTAGTACGACTGTCTTATTACTCAACGATGCCGTAGACACGCATCCCCGCTGTCCGCGGTTGTTCTCCATAGCCGTCGCGTCTCACGGTCAGTCTGGCCGTAGGTTGTTTTATAACAACCGTTTATCTGAATAGTGGTGAGGTCTTTATCGTCAGTGATATATTACTCCAAGGTCGTTTCCGAACATCTGCTGTTGGTGATCGTGACTGTACCACTACTTAGGATGACAGTAGCGATGATAATTATTGTGCAATGCTCGATCTTGAATGTTCTCTTTGTTGGCGTTAATATCGTCGAACGTCTTGTCTATAACGTTGTCTCACGGCTAAGTCACAACCGTAGCAATGAATGACGACCGTACAAATATGAAATATGGCAATGTTATGACTGTTACTTGTAGATTTCTGACGTTGTGGTTAAGGTTCAGAGTACCAGGATTGAAGCAGAGAGGCGCGGTTTCGATCCCAGCTCTGTGCGCCAGTTTCTGGTCAGAATCGGCAAGGAGGCCGGGCGGTGCACAGCAGAAATGTAGCAGTGAGTTGCGAGTTTGAGACCGCAGCATGCTGTGAATGTCCTGCAATGCTAAGTATCGGCGACAGACCTACGGCCTGATAAACGCTGAAACCGCTTTATTATTATATCGGAATTGTAAAGGTATGAACGTCTCAAAAAATCCGCGCGAGTGTTCTTTCTGACCCCGCCGTTCGACGGCAAAGACCGCCACCTACGTCTGCAGAGATAGCTGCAGACCGTAATTGCGTGATGATCACCACAATAGAAGAGCAATTTGGCTTAAATTCTAGGGCCCTTGTACAGGCAGATGTCGCGCTTACATAAGCCTACCACGGGACGCCGCGACAGTTTCGAGTTACACAAGGCACCCTTGGCCATTCCAAACTATAAACAAACTCGCTCTCACGGTTTTCTCCCCCAACTTTGCGGTCAAGTCACATCCTGCTTATAATTCCTTAGAATCGCTCGGCCCTTCTTCACAACTTTACATAAGCAATGTTTAATATTAACATATAAACAAAAGTCAGAATACTTTCGCTCTATTCAACCTCTGTAAAAAAACAATCTTTAGCTGACGCAAGCACTCACATGGCGTGTTTATAACGAGTTAATACGTTGAAGTTACTTTCGGCCGCAAAGCTTTCTTCTTCATTTATAATTATAAAACTTAGTTCTTTAATATCGAGCCTAAAAATGGTGTGTCAGACCGTGAAAAGAATAAGCCTTGTTAGAAAACAGGCTTAGCAGGGAGCTGAAGCCTTGCAGTTGATGCAGCAATTTTTTCAATTATTTTCAAGACGGAGCCAACTTGATGGAGGCAGATCTGGAAAAGAGAACAATGTGAACCATATTGCTATTTGCCCCGAATAAGGACAGGATAAATGTCAGGAATACGGAAGTGTTTAACAGCAGTTCAGCTTACGCGTGTTGAAAAAGTGTATTGTATGGTGAAGTAATCAGAATTTATTGTGGCAATGAAATTAATTGATTAATGACGTATAACGTAACAAAAATAAGTAATCATTCATTAACGTGCAATGGCCGGCACATCGGCTGGCAGAATATAAGAAAACTAGTAATTGCAGACGCATAAATTTATTAATAATGATCTCCTATTTTCGGTCGTAGCTAATTCCTCATCCAATTATGACCGCAATTTTTTTGAATCATGTTAATCACTTTAATTTACTTCAATATAAGTATATGAATCGGTTGTAGATCGCATTTTAGTTCGTAGCTTTCGGAAAAAAAGGAAAATTATCAAAGTGATCATAGGTGATGCGATGATCGTATGCTGTACGTTAATGTGCTGCGTTGATAATTAAGCCGCAATTATAATGGTAATGACATCGTTAAGAATACCGCACGTAAGCCCAGCAGTAAGGGTTGCCAGACGGTCTTTTTTCCGGACAAATTCCGCGATTTAGTTTTTTCAGTTGCGTTGGCCGGCTAAAATTTATAAATGGGGTTCTTCCTAATCAAATTAAAAAACTGAAAAAAAGAAATGGAATTTTTACACCGGAACCTACAAATATACTAGAATACATTGAGTTTTAGGCCTTTTTTGTTAGCGGACTTGGCCGTTTTTTAGGCCATCTGGCAACCTTGGCCCAGCTTGCTAGTGTCGTAAAACTTATTCTTACGATAGCCATGAGATCCTATGGCTCTGAGACTGAGGATTCATTGAGGCATAGTTCATTTTTTATCATTAGGATGATCACTTTGGGGAATGATCAAGAGGTAACCAGTGTAATGGACTTATTAATATTAATTCGTACAATTCATTATTTTATTCTGTTCCGCACGTAAAATCAGCCGATACGGCGAATGTTCATTCAAATGTACTCAAATTTAACGTTTAAATTCCCTCAGATAATTGTTTAAGTACTCAAAATTGCAAAATCTTTCCAAGGATTGTATGATCTTGAGGAAAGAAGATGGCTAAAGAGGTTTGAGATGGGATTTAAAAGTTACAAACGGCCATCCCTCGCCTAATTATTTAGTCTATGTAGGCAAGGGTTATTAAGAAGGCGTGTCGAGAACTGGGTCGAGATTTATTGATGATGGACGAAGGATGCAACCAACCAACATCTGCGTGGGTGATGGTCGTTAAAATAAAGATACGTATGATATAGCATAGCAAAACCACGACAAAATGGCATAAAACAAATCTAAAGAATATTGAGAGCAAGCGGTCGTTTCTTGGTAGTTAGACTTCGACGTTTTTAATAACATTATAAGAATTGATAAACTGAATTATAAAGAAGAACTCGGCAGCTTACACCTAGCACTTGCTCTACTTTCTGTATTGGCGCAACGAAGACTAGTCTTCAAAGCTCATGTAAACACCAAGTGGAAGAAGAAGCTTATTTTCTTCCTCTATTCAGAATATTTTTGATCTGTTTTCTTCGTTTATATCTTATGCTTTTATCATGTTAACTTCCAGGGGCCGGCTAATAACATAAAAACACCGTTTATATTTTACCTAAACGAAGTAAAGCATTTAAAACGATGAGAATTTGAAAATGGATTTCATTGCCTCTATTTTATGTGAATCCATAATAAATATAATTCATCCAGAAATTGACGCAAACAATAAGCAAGCTGAGAGTTACATGCACTATATGCAGCCACACAAGAGCTGCATACTATGGGGTCGCCTGCCGAAGACCACCACTGCCCTGGATGTAATGGACCATCATGATTCCTGCCTTCCGGAACGTAGCCTTCAACACTTCATGCCGTCCGTATCTAGGCCGTGGGCCGAACCGGGAGCGCAGCCGTGCACCACCAATTTTGTGCACCAATAAGCCCTGAATCGAACGCCTTGGGTCTCCCCGGACCTACACCAATCAGCCGTGCACCACTATGCTTTGTCCTCTTCCGGCCTTGACCACCACCTGCCGTGATCCACCAGGCCGCGGATCGAATATGACTTCCGGGCATCGTTAAATTACGTAATTTTACGTTCACCGCATCTGAGGTTAGGTTTCAGATAGCATAGTTCTGTTCCAGAATGTATCGTCCTTCGACAAGTGGCCGTTCGACCGATGGCGGGTCCGACCCACGGCTTAGATTCGGACGGCTTGAAATGTTGAAGGCTACGTTCCGGAAGGCAGGAATCATGATGGTCCAGTAGTAGGACCATTACATTCAGGGCAGTGGTAGTTTTCGGCAGGCGAGGCGTCGAACCAGCCCTCGGTCGAACGGCCAATTGCTTGTCGAAGGACGATAAATTTTGGAACAGAACTATGCTATCTGAAACCTAACCTCAACTGCGGTGAACGTAAAATTACGTAATATAACGATGCCCGGAAGTCAGATTCGATCCGCGGCCTGGTGGTGCACGGCAGGTTCCATGCAAGGCCGGAGGAGGATAAAGCCGAGTGGTGCACGGCTGATTGGTGTAGGTCCGGAGAGATCCAAGGCGTTCGATTCAGGGCTTATTGGTGCACAAAATTGGTGGTGCACGGCTGCGCTCCCGCATAGGGGAATAAGGGAAAGAAAGTGTGCGAGATTCACGAGTTTGGTTAGATTCTGTGTCAACAATTCTCATTCATTCATTCATTCATTTCCTAACTGCGTAGTGGCTACATCATAAGCGTATACAGTATGTAAATGAACCCGATCCAAAATTAAACTCTCCAATTCAATAGGATTCAGTTCAGCCGTTTCAAAATTGCATTTTTCGGGAATAACTTTCATGGTTCAATCTACAACAATTGCCTGTTAAAATGCTTTTAAAATAATTTTTTTATTCAATATGATGATTCGCCCTAACCTAGAAATTTATTCACTATAAAACTGCAAAAATTCTGTTTCACAAATGTCGTTTCGGATGTTTCTGAAATAAAATTTGGATAAATAACTTTATGAATTCAAGTTAAAAATTTCTTCAAACATAGAAATTTATTTAATTCACAATGACAAACCTGCTATTAGAATTTCACGACTGTCACTTTAGCGGTTTCTGAAAAAGAATTAGTATGAATAACTTCTTAAATTGAAAATGAAAATGCCTCCAAACCTCAAGATTTATTCCCTCCAAACGGCAAAAATGTTATTCCAATTCCACGAGCGTCGATTCAGCCGT